TTAAGTAACTAGCTCCAAGTCTCAACTGACAAGTGGGTAACAGGGTTGAGATTTGACTCCAGTTCTGTCTAATTCCAGATAATAAACCACAGAGCACAGGATCTAACTTGGCCCACTACACAGACATACCTTCAGCATTCAGGATAACTTTGTTTCACAAACTAGAGACCTGATTACAGAGTGGGGAGGAGGGAGGTAAATTGCCCAGGGCTACCCAGCATTATCTCTTATAACAGAGTATCTTAACTACTACTTCCAGCAAGTAAAGACTTAGATTACAAATGATCACTCCAGGGTAAATTTTCTCTAAAACCTCAGAACAGGAACAATTAGAAAGCAAGCTGTAAATTCCCCCAGCAAGCCACTATGAAGTTTGTATCTCTGTCCTGTGTGGCTTCCTTCCTCCCAGGTCCCCAGCCTGAGAGAGAAACTTCTGCTGCTATTTCCCAGGCAGCAGGGCACAAAGTCCAGCCAGGGCCTTGGCCAGCATGGCGCCTGCTCAGCAGGCACACACTGGGGCATTAATAGATAATGTCCTGTGAGGAGGAAGAGCAGGGTGCTGGAACACAAAGGCCTGAGGCTCTATGGAACCTTTCCTCCACCTGGGGAGGATGTATAGTGGTGAACCTGGAGTTCATTCAGATATTGGGGACCCTGGAGATGGCTCTCAAAAGAGGCAAAGAGTAGGTACCCCAACAGGATAAAGGCAAAAGAAAACTCGATATTTTTAGCCCAAAGGCAAGAAAGTGAAATTTAAGCTCAGAGTGGGAGACAGGAGGTTGAGTTCCTTCAAAGTGGGTTGCCTGAAATCTACACGCACAGAATGACCTCAGGGGCTTAAATTTCTTCCCAATCATCCCTCCGTAGCAGGATGCACTGATGAATTCAGTTCAAGCAGTACCCCCAATTCCTGATGAACATGTAGCTGATGACAGCTAGCTGTCTCCTATTCCTGGAAGTATGAGCTCTTATTCCTATCACTATGAACTGATCCTTGGTACCCACACCAAGCTTTGGTCCCAATATCATATGCCCAGCTATGGGTAAGTACTAGTATAGGATCTGCCTACCAAGTGATTTGAGGGGACACACTGGATCTGACACAGAGTGGATGCTCAAAATATGTACTATCTGAATAGTTGACCCAAACTAGAGGCCCAAGTCATCAGCTTGTGCCCCACAGGGCTGCTGGGTTCCTTTGGGCCCAGTAGAAAAGGGGAAGGAAAATGGGGAGTGGGGAGGGGAAGGGAGAAGCATCTTGATCTTCCCTTATTGAACTCTGAACCCTCAGACTGAGAAGTCCCTCTGCCTAAAGATGAGGTCCCTAGAAGGCTCTGGAGTGGCTTCAAGGCACACACTGCCCATCCCTTGGGCAGGGCCTGAGGGTAGTTTATTCTGAGGGGACCATTCAGTGGCTTTCTTTGGCCTCAGGGGTGCTCAGATCCTGTGCAGGAAATGCCATGAATAAAAGCTCCGGAAATACTGTCTGAATAAAAGCCAGCAACTTCCAGTGAGGAACTTGGAGGGCCACAGACACACAGGAACTGATGAGGCTCTGGCTGAAGGATGGGCAGGAGCCCTGCTTCACACCCTCAGCTTGGCTGCTATCAGCTTTGTTGCCCCAATACAGACCCTAGGCATGCCCCTCGGCATTTAGGGGGCTCTTCAGATGCTCCTATCCTATCATCTTTCCACATCACAGGGCAGAGAGAGGCTCAGTTTCTCTTCTTCAACTCTTGCCACTCAGGGCCCAGGCTCTCCCACTGGCTCCCACAGTCCTGGGCTGGGATCTTAAGGGGGAGTGGATTTGTCCATTGCTGGGCACCTCTAGGAAGTACTAGTCTCTGACCAAAGCTGGAAGTTATCACCCCTGGTGAGGGAGGAAAGATATATTTTGGAGAGGGGTCAGTTTGGCAGCCCTTACACCTGGACTTCCAATGCCCTCACCTTCATTTTGCTAGAGATCTCCCATGGCAACCAAGCAACCCTGGACCCTCCTCCTGGGGCTTGGCTGGCCTTCGGCCCTGAGCCCAGCCTGGGAAAGGTAGGACAGCGCGGAGGATGTCCAGCCCCACCTCCGGCCCTGCCCTGCCTTTGACTCCAGAGTGAGTCCCTCATAGCTTGGGACACCCTCCCTCGCGCTTCTGACCTTGTGCCGGAACTCTCGGGCCACTTTGCGGTCCATGGCCGAGGCTGATGAAGCAGTGTCGAGGCCTGTTTCGTCCTGTTTCTTCTTAGGGTGCCCGGGCTGCTGCAGAGCAGGCGCCAGCCGTGACCGTGACCCTGGCCCGGCCTCCTTCCGGGGCTAGGGGCGGGGCCTGGTAGCTGCAGGGGCGTGGCTGGGGCGGGAGGAGGCTGGGCTGAGTGGCTGGAAGACACCTGTCGCCAGGCGTGGAAGAAAGCGCCCCTGGGGCGGTCGGTGGTAGGCGATTGAGGAAGAAGAATCCAGATGTTTTGGTACTTTGTGGAGCCCAGAGTAAACTCCCATCTCTTCATTTAGGTGGGTAAGGGGTGGAGTAATCTAGTCCATTTTCTCTGACATACAAGAAGAGGTCCAGCTGCCTTCCTGAGACTGGACTCCTAGTCATACATCTCACGTTTAGGGGACCTTTCACAGTGGCTTTTTTCAAGCACTTTCCCTACTAGGAAGGTACTGTTCCTTGATCTGTGAACTCCTGGGGAAGGAGGGGGGGCTGGGCTTATTGTGGCCAGGGGGTAGAGCCATAGAGTGCTCTCTCCACTGACTCCCTACCCTCACCTTCTTTTCCTGACAGGGCCCAGCAAAACAAACAAGCAAAGCAAAGCAAAACAAAGCTCAATTCACTGAGGCGTAGAAGTGATGGCAAGTGACATCCTGATTTAAAGTGACCTTTACCCAGACCCTCTGGTTCATTTGATTCAATTCAGCCAGCGTGTGTTTACTTCATCCATCCTGTGATGAATGCGCATGACCATGAACCAAGCCTGGATCACACTGAAGGTAAGAGGAGGCCATGGGAGGGCTGATAAACATGTGAGAAAGGGGTGGGAGGAAGAGTTTAATTTGGGCTTGAATTTAACCAGGATAAGCCTCTAGACCTGTTTTGCACCTACCCTATTAGGAGCAAGAGCAAGCAGATAGAAGTGGCTTAAATAAGGTAGCCACTTACAGTTACACCTTCAGAGATTGGTCAAGGTCCCCCTCTCTGGCTCCCTCTCCCAGTAGCTGAAGTTTTGCAAGCAGGCTATTTTCCTGCAGCTAAATTATCACCTCATTTAAGTTTTAAGTCCCTCAAGAAGAAGAGTCTTAAAAGATTATCCATGTCAACTAACTAGTTAATTCACAAGTGAGGGCATGGATAAAGACTTAAAGAGAACGATGTGAGAAATAACCACAAAGGGCATATTTCTCTTCCCATTTAAGCCCCCCCCCCGATTCTCTACATTACTTAAATGTGTCACGTGGCTATTTCACATATTTGATAGAATCCAGGCAGAGTGGGAATGTCCTTACCCAGAAGAATGCAGTCCATGGCCTTCTTCACCATGACAACAGCCCCACTAACTTCCTCCTTCTTAAAATGTTCTCCATTTTTTTTTATTATAAAGGTGTTGTAAAAAGGGGTTATAGTTATGTAAGTCAGATAATGAGTACATTTCTTTTTGAACAGTGTTGCCTCTTCCCTAATTTTCTCTCAGTTTTTTTCCCTTCTGAACTCCCTTGCCCATGTACAGTTCATTTTCAACACAGTGTCTAGTGAATATCACTGCTGCATTTGTTCATCCTTTATCCCACAATTTCTGTGTTTCCCCTTACTCTCCCCCAAACAGATAAACTTACAAGACAAAAGGTATAGAAATAAAAAAAAACCAGTGGCAAAGAGAAAACAAACAAAAAAGCAAAATAACAAAAAAAAACCTTGTTTCCATTTCTTGGGGTTCATTTTGATTAACATCATTTTATATTTTGATATGCACATAGCTATTGAGCCTTTGTCATCCTCTCTTAAGAATATCCTCTTTTGATTTCACTGTGTCTCCACTTGGTTTTGAGGACAGTACTGAGTCCTGGTTCTCACCTCACATTTCCTTAGTCCATTTCTGAACCAGTGTTCTGTAAACCACATCCTTGGCTCTCTCCTTTTCACTTTACCTTCTGTGCCTGTGGATATAGATATCCCGTATGAGGACATTTTTTCCTTTGTATGTCTATGACAGTACAGGACACAAGACACATACTCAACAAATTTGCTAATAGATAAAATGAATGAATGCCCAGGAGACTACTGGACCAAACTTCTTCTCCTTTCCCTCTTTTTCCTGCTTTATAAGTAACTTCAATACTTGGCATCAGTTAGTTTATGTTCCTCAAATGTTGCTCCCAGGTCCAACATTTCACTGTGTGTATATATATATATATGGGCAATAACTTGGAAACATCAAGTTAGTTTTGTCCAAATCTGGCCTTGGAGGGGACAATGAATGTGTGTCAACACTTGTTGAGCCAAGACCAGCCCTCAGAGGGCTAAGGAACCAGTATTCCCAGAAGTGCTCAAAGCTAGGAGACAGAATGGGGATTGGGGAGCCCAAGTGGATGCACAGACTAGGATTCTGCAGGCCTGAGACTGTTCTAGGCTTCAGTGTGGCTCTCTGTAAAAGGACTTCTACCAGCCCTGGTAGGACCAGCCACTTGGTCTCTGGTGGAAGGGGCTTGCAGGTCAGGGTTTGGATGATACTCCTAGAGAACTTAAGCTGAATGAACTGAACTAGGCTTCCCTGGGAAAGTAGTTTCCTAGGTCTAGTACAGCAGAAGCTGGGCCTTTACCAGGAACCTAATTTATGCTAATGAGATGGGCAGTCCTGTTACTCTAGCCTGGGGAGGAGCCAAGCGCCTTGGAGGAGGGCCCTGGGGAGCTGCAGCTACTTCTGTCTGCAAAGTGGAGATGTGACCCAGCCTTGGCAGAGAGAGACACTTCGGGGCCAGTCTCTGTGCTCAGGCTCCCGGGTCTCCACACGCCCCTATGGGACCCCTGTCGTCTGTGCTCTACGTGGTACTCATTTGCATCTGGCTGCCCCACGAGGAGCAGGCTGTGAAGTCCTGGCGGGTCCAGCGTCAGGGTGAGAGGGGTGTGGACTGGGGAGGCTGGAAGTTTGCATGAGGGAACAGGTTGCAGAGAGGCAGAAAAGAGAGATGCTCTGAAGAAGGACAGAGCTTCCTCAGTAGAGGAGAGACCAAAGGCAAGATCAAGCCTGGCACCAGGAGGGGAATGGGTCCTAAAACTAGGTGGGTGGGAAAACCCAAGATAGAGAAACAGAGAGACTTGGGACCACCCTCCCCCGAAAAGTGGGGGGTGGCTGGGAGAGGGAGACCCTTGTTCCAGAAGGGCCTGGGGGGAGCTGGAACAAGAGCATGAGAAGACTGAGGGGAGAGGAAATGGGAGATGGTGGCATGATGTGGGAGAGGCTTCCTGGCATGTGAGGGTGGTCGGGGGAACTCACAGAGGGTGGAGACTAATCTCCTTCCCCCCAACCTGCCCCCGTCTAGCTGCAGCACCCACACTGTGGGCCAGTGCAGAGCTGGAGCCCCAGCCAACACCAGAAACCAGGTGAGTAAGTATATACTGGCAACCCCCACCATATTGATTCCAGGCACACGTCACCCCAGAGACTTAGCTTGTAGGGAGGGTGGGAAACAGGGCCTGGGGATGAAGGGAGGCTTGGCAATTCCCAGCCCCCACCACCCCCTACCAGGCTTGTTTCTCATCTAGTCACAGCTACCAGGAGGCGACCCTGGCCCTAGAGGATGCCACAACAATGATGAGAAGCCAGGTAAGAGAGGTCAGAGGAAGGTGACTTCATTAGGGGTGAGGTGGGCGGACACACAAGACTATATAAAAATTGTCTGGGGGAACCTAGGAATCAAGGCCCAAGGTAGGTTAAGGTAGGGAAAACTGGCAAAGCATAGTGATTCACTCAGGGGGTCAGAAGGATCGGGATGGGGGTTATGTCTGAAGGTGAGGTAAAGAAACTTCTTCTGCTCACCAGGGCAAAGTTGGGGCTGGGCTGCAGGGACCAATGTTTTTGAATGCTTCCAATGTTTCGAATCCTTTGTTGGAGGCTGGGGGTTCAGCCTGTGCTCATAGGGATCCCCCTGAGGGAGAAAGGCATGGAGACAAACATCACAGTGTCATCACTTGTAGCTTATTGGCTATGTGAACAAGAACATACTCTTCATGGAGGGCAGAGACTCTTCTTACCACATGTAGCATGGTACCTTATGTGTAGTGCTGATGAGGAGGCTGAGGCTCTGAGCAGAGCAGCCTATTGTGCCAGAGTCCCAGTTCTAGGTGACATTAAATTGCTCAGGCTGGAGTCCTAAGAATACAGGTGTCCAAGAATGTGGTGACTGAATACCCCTGATGGTCAGCATGGTCCTTTTAAAAGGTATCTGTCTGGTGAGACAGAGGGCTGTGAGTTCTGTCTGGAACAAAGATTTCTTAGCTCCACCTTGCTTTTCTCTTCCTCAGATGCATGGTCTCAGGGAGAGTCCTGACTTGGTGGGGAATGTGTTCAAGTTGTAGATGCCACTTTGGACTTTTCCTGCTAGATCCTGGGCTTCCCTGGGCCTAGGACAGGTCTGAAAATCCTGGTGGCCAGGAAAGGTGGCAAGGATTCAGGAGTTACACTGTGGGGCTGGGAACCTGCCCTCTGCTGTGACCTCTAAGAAGGCCAAACAGGGGCCCAGCCTAAAGCCAGCCCTAATTGCTTTCCTCCCCACTCCTGTGTCTAAAAGGAGACTGAAGGCCTGGACTCTGTGGTCATGTCTTCCTGGGAAAGGCGGCTCCATCGGGCAAAATGTGCACCATCTTGTAAGTGACACCCTCCCTTTGACTTGCTGGCTATGCATGGGATATTCTAGCCCACAGAGAAGCCTCTGAAGACAGGCAGAGGTGTCCCTTGGGCCTGCTGTGACTTCTTTCCTGTTTTTGTCTTTTTCCCTTCCCCTAACCTGGTGTCCAGTTTCACTCACTTTCTCCTTCCTGCCTGAGGAGAGTGTTCTCCCTGATTCTGTTTGTGTGCCCATGGCCCCGGGGCTCCCCCTGGTCCTGTCTGACTTGACTGAGACTGTGTTTTGTTTAGTGATTGTCCCCTCCTCACACACACACACCCTGCTTCTGTGGCCTCTTCTTCCTTCCTGTGGCATTGCCGCTTTCCTGTGGTCCCTCCCCTTACCTGTCCAGTGTCTGCGACTTCTTCCCTTACCACATTTTGTCTCTTCTTTGTCCATGGTAGCTGTTCTCATTTCTGTGCTCTGCATGAGTCCTCACCCCTATCTGTCCCTAATCCCATTTTCACCTCTCCTTTGATCCATGGAGCCAGAGTGCCTGAGGACTTCAGGGCCGTCCCCTTGCTCACTCCACCTGCCCTATGGTTTCAGAACGCAGCTTAGAGAACTGAGGGCCCAGATGGAGTGACTTTAGGGTATCTTGAGGTATACTGAAGACAGAGATTCTGAGACACCCCCCCCCCTCCCCGTCTGCCTGTCTGTCAGGGAGAGGGCAGTACCATGAACCACCGCCATCCCACAGTCACATTCAGGCTAGTTGCTGAGGAATCTGGTACTGCTTGGTATGGGGGCCTTGACTCCCACACATCCTGGGAGGGCTGGCACTGTGCCTGTCGCGAGGTTTGTATGTGGATTTTGCTGCTCTCCTCTTCACGGAAATGCTTCTATGTCTCCCTTACAGACTTGTTCTCCTGCTTCAATGGGGGTGAATGTGTGTACCCGGCCTTCTGTGACTGCAGACGCTTCAATGCTACTGGCCCACGCTGCCAAATGGGTGGGTCTGGGCTACACCCACACTGGGGAAAGACCAAGGGGTTCAGGGAAAACCATGGGCCTGAAGTTTGGGGTGCTGGGCCTGGAGGATGACAGGGCATAGGGGTCCTGCCAGCGCTGGCCTTGGCCTGGTACCCACCACTGCTGTGCAGATAGTCTCTCTTTCCCCCACCTCAGTGTACAACGCCGGGCTGGAGCGGGACAGCATCTGCCGCGCATGGGGGCAGCACCACGTGGAGACCTTTGACGGCCTCTACTACTACCTCTCTGGAAAGGGCAGCTACACGCTGGTGGGGCACCACGAAGCCGAGGGCCAGAGCTTCTCTATCCAGGTGAGGTCTTCCCTGACCTGCCTGCCACAGTCTCCACGAGACCCCGGAGGCTGGGTGGCCTGGGCTGTGCCTGTTCATAGTCTGTTCACACTCTAGACATTGGGTGGCCTGGTCCCTGATTGTCTCCAAAGTCTCCACTAGACCCTGGTGGCTGGCCTGGGCTGGCTTGGGCTCTGCTTGTCCTAGAGAAGCTTTTACCTTTCTGTCCCCAACTCAACACTTCCTCAGAGGAGTCATAGGCTCTACCATCTTTGTTCACACATCCACTTCTGGTTGTGTCTGGCTACCCATTCGCTCAGACAGGCATCTGTCAGATATTTTAGTGCATTCTGTACACTTTTTCTGGGCATAAGTTTTGTGGTGAGAGGCTTTGAGGGTAACCTAGATGTGGCTTAATGGAGAAAGCAGACAGCAACTGAAATGAATCAGTTCCTAAGTATTCCTGGGTGCTCTAGGGGAGAGATACCAAATGATTAAAGTGCATGTTAGGGAAACCTGATCTTGTTTATTGAGAAAGGATGGGAGTGACATTTAAGTTGAGATCAGAGAAAAGAATTGGAGGTGAGCCAAGTGAAGAGAAGCAATCTTGAGAATGTTCTAGGGAAAGGAATGCTAGATTCCTAAGAAAAGAACACAGTGCCTCAGGAGATGAGGCTCATTTTAGAGCTACCTCTTCCAAGGAGCCTTCCTAGGTCTCCTGACTACCCAAGCTGGCTGAGGAAGTCCTCTTTGGGTAAACAGCTCCACTATTACAGGACTCCCTCTCCCCCCACCCTCTCTCCTTTGTGGCTTTGTTTTGTTTTCTTTTTAATTTTATTTTATTGTAAAGATGCTGTACAGAGGGGTTGCGGTTACATGAGTGAGGTGATGAGTACATTCTTGTTGAGCATTGCTACCCCCTCCTTTGTTGTTCTCCCACTATCCCTTCTCTCCCCCACCTCCCCTTCACTCCTCCACCCCCTAAAGTTGTAAAGTTCATTTTCAATATAGTGGCTTGTGGGTATCCTTGTTGCAATGGGTCATCCTGTGTCTTTGTTTCAGCATTTTGTTATTCCCCTTCCCCTCCCCAAATTAGATAAATGTATACACAAGATGCAGAGTATCATAATCAAGTACAGGGACAACAGGGGATATACCATAGTGAGAAGAACATACAAAAGAAACAAAAAAAATCACATAGTACATTAAAAACAACAACAACAAAGAAAAACCTCTTGTGTCCTTATCTTGGAGTTCGTTTCACTTAGCATCATCTTATGTAGTCATATGTACATCGCTTTTGAGGTTTACTGCTCATCTGATAAAATTATCCTAGACATATATTGATTATCGAAAATGAGGGAAACCATGGGACCTATATTTCTTTGGGTCTGACTTATTTCACTTAATATGATTTTTTTCCAAGTCTTTCCATTTCCTAACAAATGGGGTGGTATCATTCTTTCTGATGGAGGCATAGAATTCTACTGTTTATATATACACCACATTTCCCCATTGCAGATATTTTTCTTAGTTTCCTCTACCAACTGTAACCTTTCTGGGCCAGGGCCATATCTTAGTTTGATATCCCTTGTAGCTGGATTAGTGCTCAGAAAAAAAAAAAAGCTTGTCAAATATATGAATACCTCTGTGAGAGTGGCTGTCCCATAGATCTGAGTTACATGCCTACTTATGTCTTGCATGGGGAGTCAGGCACAGGCCAATTCTCTTCTAAGTAGGTTCCTCAAGTAGGTTTCTGTAGTAGGTAGAGGGCGTCTACACTGGTCAGTACTGAGTGCAAGGAGCTGGGGTTATAGAGAGTCCTTTTATTCAGGGTCATCTTTCTTTCAGCTGGGTGACATCCTTCTTCCTGATAGGTCTTGTGGTAGGTTTATGCCTGCTATCCACCCTGGTTGGGCTGGGACCCTTAACCATTCTCCCCTTTTGTCTTGAGCTATCTCACATCAGTTTTCATGACTGTAACATTTTATGGCTATGTTACAATTATTAAGACTAATGCCACCTAGAGAGTTATGAAATCAACTCGAGGCATGCCAGCATTAAACAATACAGAAGAAAAGATAATACACATGAATATGTATATATAATATAAACACCTTTGTTTTATTTATATATTTATTTTGTATTCTGAGTCATAGTTAAAAATGTTGAAAAGCATTTAATTAGACCATAGATGGCTTCCTCTACTGGTCCTATTTGTGTGTGTGTGTGTGTTGGTGTTGGTATTGCTTAAGGCTAGCACTCTACCACTGAGCCACAGCTCCATTTTGGCTGTTTTGGGGTAATTTATTGGTGCTAAGAGTTTCATGGATTTTCCTGCCCAGGTTAACTTCAAACCACAATCCTCAGATCTCAGCCTCATGAGAAGCCAGGATTATAGGCATGAGCCACCAGGGCCCAGCTGATCCTTCATATTTTAATTTCATTTTTTGGTAGTAATGAGGTTGAAACAGGGCTTCATGCTTGCTAGACAAGGCATTTTATCACTTCAAACCTTCTTTTTTTTTGCTTTATTTTTCACATAGGAGCTTGAGTTTTTGCCTGGATCTGGCCTTGGACCAGGATCCTCCTACTTACTCTCCTAATATACATCATCACACCCAATTCATTTTTGAAATGGGATCCAATATCTTTTTGCCTAGACTGGCCTAGACACTCCTGACTAGCTGGAATTTTGTGCTACTCATTTTCAGTTCAAGTGACTTCTGCCTGCTTAACCACCTAACAGTAATCTGGTAGATTAGACTGGTTCCTGAGAAGGTTTCCAAATATGGCAGGGAGATATTTGCATAATTTTTCCCTAAGCTTTGAGAACTCTGCTCTACATTTGGGTAATAGATAGATAGAAATAGAGTAGAGATAGATATAGGTCTTTGACAAGCAATATAGGAATGAGTTGTGTACAGGGGTGGCCAATTCTCTTCCTGCCAGGGGGAGAGAGGAGTAGAGTGTGTTTGTAGTGTGTTCACTAAAAGTGTCTTTGAGAGTATAGAGGTATGTATGGGTATGAGAATCTGCAGGGGCGTGGGATGGTGAGTGCCTTCAGTGTAATGAAATAACCTGGGGAGGATAAATAGACCAATCCAGAAACATGGAGGTGGCACAAATCTCTGGAATACAAACCATTCTGATTTGAAACCTGGCTGTCCAATTTACTAGTTGTAAGTGCATGCAACCTTCATCTCTTCTCACTGTGCATCAGTTACCTCTCTAAAAATATAGACCATCATAACTCCAGCACCCTATCATGCAGAAGAAAGGTGCTCAGCAAACATTCTGTATTATTGGAAGCTCATCAACAAGTAGAGGCTCCTGTGACAGGAGCTGCAAGCTGCTCTTTAAATCCTCAATCAGGTGCATAATGACCCACAGTGTGGCTCTGCCCACTACGTCTGCTCAAGATCTGTCAGCCTCTTCCTTGCTGGTGAGCAGGAGATTCGTCTGGCCAAGGAAGTCACCCATGGAGGTGTGAGGTAACTGTGACCCGTCTACCCTCAGCTGTCCTCTTCCCTGATCCTGCACAGGGGGATGTTTGCCTTGTCAAGCTTAAAGGACAAACAGCATTTGTCACTATGTCACTACTAGGAAAGAAACATTGTCAGCCTCTTAGTAGGGCTGGCAGAGAGAACCAAGTCAGGCCCCCTGTGAGTTTCTAAGTACAAGGTTTACAGGTCTCTCTTTCTCTTTATATTTAATAGACATCTTCCCAAAGGATCCAGTTTCCTGTGGGCAGACACTGCATAAACTTTCTTCACTCTTTTCCATGGACACAGGGTCATTTGAATATTATTTAACTTTCTGGGCTATCAGGGGCTTCCTCCTAGGGACTATCTGAGAAGCAAAACCTCTTTGCCTTCATGCCCAGTGGCCAAGATAATGGTCCTGCTGAAATGTTCCTTGCATCTCTTTCTTGTCTTTCCTTCCTTCCCTGGCAGTCCATAGTCACTTCAGGTTACTGTCAGAGATGCTGTTCATAACAAGAAGAGCTTTGGATCTAGAAACTGAGCACCTACTGTCCTGGAGCTCAGAATAAGGCTGAAGCCTAAGGATTTCCCTTCAAAGAAAGGGCTGGTATTCAGATCTTCTAGCTGTTCGGACACTACATTTTTTTTTTTCTTTCCTGATTGTCAGCTGGACAAAAGTTGCTAAATTCTATATTGGTCAGGAGACCATGTACCAGCAAGACAGAGAATGTGGTCAGGAATGCTGGAGCATGAGTGTGCCTTTTCTTGAACTCCATTTCCCCTCTCTTGGTTTCTCTTCCCACTCTGTTCTTGCTTCCTAATAGCAAAATAGATTAAGATCTATCCCTGCCAGAGGAATTGCAGTTCTGAAAAATCCAAGGGTAAAAGAATCCCATTCCAGTGGCGTGCTTCCAGTCACTTGGGATTTCTAGAAAAATCAAGGGAGGGAATGCTCAGATCACTGGGGAGAGGATGGCTGGTCCTTTTGATGAAGGGATGGTACCATGGAGATAGTGTGGAAATCCTGGAGCTATTGGCTGTGCCCTATAGAGTCCAACTGCCACATGTGATGGGAGGCGTGCATCTGCAGCAGCTGGCTGGTTATGTCATTGTGCGACATCGGTCAGCCTTCACACTGGCTTGGGATGGTGCCTCGGCTGTCTACATCAAGATGAGCCCAGAGTTCCTGGGCTGGACCCATGGGCTGTGTGGAAACAACAATGCTGACCCACAGGATGACCTGGTAACCAGCTACGGTGAGGTTTAAGGAAGGTGCCTCTGACAGATTCTTCCGGGGGGGTGGTAGTGGTGGTGGTGAGAGAACCAGTCAGGCTGGGAGAAGTTGGAGACCACTGGAGTCAGAACTCAGGATCACGAGTTATGTATGCAAAACTCAATGGTGCCAAGTGGAATCTCTTTTAAAATGTGTGGTCTTGGGCATATTCTCAAATATTCCAGCTCTTCGTTCCTTCTGTCATAAAATAGTCATAATGATCATTCCAACCAGAGTTGTGTACAGGTCTAATGAGCACTTTGCCAGATAGGATAGACTCCACAAAGTGGTAAGAGAAGGAAGAGGGGAGCAGAGAGCCCAGGTGGAGCTCCATGTCCCAATGTAGGAGTGGTAAGAAGTAGAAGGGAAGGACTCAGTGCCAAGGACATGGTGATTCTGGTCACAAGAAAAGAAATAACACTCTTTGCCCATCCTTGGGCTACTAAACACTTACTGCATCCACTCAAGTAGACACACAGGGATTATGAGCAGTAGATTCTTTCCCCTTCTTCACACATGGGGAAACTGAGGTTCAAGGAAGTATAGGAACTTGGTCAGACTTACACATCAGGCCTCTTTTGGTTACTAGCCTTGCCTCCTCTGTGCTTTTTTATTTTGGGTGCTCAGGAGTCTGGATTCTTCCAAACTTCCCCAGTCACTCAGTTCTTTCCTGCAGGGAAGCTGACAGATGATGTGACTGAGTTTGTGCACAGCTGGCAGGAACAGCCTCCCAACCACTCTCCAGGGCCTGTAACTTCTTCTCTGCCTCGCCCACCATGCCTGCAGCAGAGCCTGGGAACCATGCAGGTCTGACCCTGGAGAGGATTCTCCCTTTCCACCTAGTTCTCTGTTGCAGTTGTATTCCTGTCCCATTTTTGAAAAGCTCTTGGATTCAGGGTGCCCATAGCCTCCTCTTCCTTCTCTCCATTTCTTCCTCTTCCTCCAGTCTAGTTTGGTGTTCCCTATGGGGCTGTTGTGGTCAGAGGGCTATGCATGCCCCTGTCAGCCCCTAGCCCCAGTTCCTGGCCTTTGCCCCATTCAGGGTGTGTATGAGCGATGTGAGGCACTGCTGAGGCCACCCTTCGATGCCTGCCATGCCTATGTCAGCCCTCTGCCCTTCACAGCCAGCTGTACCAGTGATCTATGCCAGTGAGTGGTCAGCCAGGAGTTGGGTGGTTTGGGGAAAACCTTCTCAGTATTGGGGTAAGGGCTTGGCACATGGGCCACTGAGCCTAAGAATCCCAGGCACTGACAGAATTGCTTCCCAAAGTTCTGAAATTCCTATCTGCTTGAATAGAGCAGAGCTTCCCTATTCAACTGAGGCCCAGAATGAGGCCTGGCTTCCTCAGGCTTGCATAGCCAGACAGAAGCCATGCTGGGATTGGATTTATTCTTCCTGCTTCAAGTCTGGGGATCGGTGTAACTAGATGCCTTCCCAGATCCCATTCCCAGCTGAGGTGGTCTGAATCCCTGGCAGTCTGGACAGCATGTGGGGGAGCTGATGATAGATTGGACCTTGTTCTTTATACAGATCAGGAAGTGATGAAGCCACGTGGTGCCGAGCACTGACAGAGTATGCTCGGGCATGTGCACAGGCTGGGCGGCCCCTGCAGGGCTGGAGGGCCAAGCTCCGACAATGCAGTAGGTGCAACCTGGTAGTGGGCAGGGGAGGGATCAGATAAGCTCTGTGGGTGCTATGGGTGATATCCTCAGTCCTTAGCTCAGTGTCCTGCCCCAGTCAGAACCATAGTTGTCAGAGCTTTAAGTGTAAGATTCCATCTACATGTGACAGATGGAAAAACTGAGGCTTAGAAGGGGAGAGACTAGTTTGGGCCATAAAGGTGGTTCTTAGAGCCTACCAGGCCCTGACCAATTTTCTGGACACTCAATACTCTCCCCAGGAGTAGGGGATCAGGAAAATGAAAGACTTCTCACACCCATCTCAAGGCTTGGATGAGGGTGGGGCATAGAGGAATCAACATAACACAGGTTCCCTCCTCCAAGCTGTGCACTGTAAAGAGAAGGCTTTTACCTACAATGAGTGCATCGCCTGCTGCCCTGCCTCCTGCCAGTCCCGGGTGTCCTGCGTGGACAGCGAGATCGCCTGTGTGGATGGCTGCTACTGTCCCAACGGTATGCAGGGGTAGCAGTGGGAATCCGGGAGCCACATCATGGCCTGGTACAGATGACCATGAATGGGGGGTTTGAAGGTGGAAAGAGTGAACAACTAATGTGGGAATAAGTGAATGAATGAAGGCAAGAATGGAGGTGGAACTGTGGCCTCTTGAAAGTTTGATTCATCATCAGGGTATTTGAGTTTGTTGGTACTGAGCTTTTTTTTTTAACCTTTTGTTTCCATTTCCTGGAGCTCTTTTTGACAAGTATTATTTTGTATGATGAGAAGAATATTGGCATTACACGTTTGTGCTCCTTTCCCAAGGGACCGAGCTTTCTAAGGTGTATAGTAGAGGACAAGTCACTCGTTCATTCATGTATGCACACATCTTTGCTTAAGTATTTACGCATATATAATTACTTTGTCCTGTTTTTATTGTAGCATATACATTTGCAGCCTAGCTGAAGTAAAATTCACTTGGCTAGGTGGACGGTTGAGACAAAAAATTCTCAAGCTGCAGGTGTTGACTTTAGAGGTCAGAATCAGAGATCAGATACACATCTGACCCCAACCTGAAGTCAAATGGTGCTCAAGTGCTCAGACAAGAAGAGATAGTGGAATTCATGGGTGAGAGGTGAGAGGGGTGAGAGGTCAAGGAGGCTTCCTGCTGGAGATGGTATCTAGACACAACTGACTTTTGAGAGGTGTTGAGAAGAAATCAGGTAGTTTGCAAGTTGGAAGCAGTCCATGGAGCAAAGGTCTGCCCGAAAAGGTTCACGTTGAGCAGTTTGAGAGTATGGACAGAGGCCAAAGAACATGCATAAGGAAAGTGACAGATTACTTGTGAAATGAGTTGAGCGGGCCTTTGCTGTCACTCTAGGGATGATCTTTGAAGATGGGAGCTGCGTGGCACCAGCTGAGTGTCCCTGTGAGTTCCATGGGGCGCTGTACCCGCCTGGCTCTGTGGTGAAGGAAGACTGCAATGCCTGGTCTGTATCTTCAGTACTTGGGGTACTCTGCCATGGCTGCCTATGTGGAATCTGGGAGCTCCAGTGGCACAGGGCCACAAACTCAGCCTCTTCAAGTCCAAAGGAAATTTATTAGACCCATGGAGAGAGGGGAGGGGCTACCCATGATAGAGATGAGAAGATGGGGGGATGGGGCAGGACTTATGTGAGCCCTGCTGCCTCCAGGCCTTGGAGTGGTGACTCTTACTCCTATGGGCTCTGTGTTCTAGCACCTGCTCTGCTGGCAAATGGGTGTGCAGCACAGCTGTTTGCCCAGGTACGTCTGATGGCCTTGGACTCTGTTCTTTTCTGTTAGACTCAGGGTGTTCTAGGCTAGGCCTTCTGGGGACACTTAATTCCCTTGGCTAAGCCTGCCCTCCTTTTGAGAGTCACTCTGCTTAAGGGACAACATGAGCCCCTGACAAGAGGGCTTTTCACAGTGTCCTATATATTTAAGCCCTTTCTGAGCTTGGGGTATTTAGAGTATTCTCCAAGTCCAGGGCCTAGTCTTTGTCTCAGAAAAGCCCCAAGGAGGGATGTGTCTATTTCAGACAGGTTTCTGGGGAGGACAGGGTCTTCCCTTAACTGGAGATCTCCCCCTTCTTGTAGATGCCAGATAACAGGATTCTATACCCTGAGCATGCTTGGGCCTACAAAGTGTGAGTGTGGGCAGCTCCCATGGGTCAGTAACCTTTCTCTGTCCCGCAGCGGAATGCTCAGTGACTGGTGACATCCACTTCACAACCTTTGATGGGCGTCGGTACACATTTCCTGCCACATGTCAGTACATCCTGGCCAAGAGCCGTTCCTCGGGCACCTTCACAGTGACACTGCAGAATGCCCCATGTGGTCTGGTAAGTCTGGGACAAACCCCCTGCAGCCCCAGGCCCCAAACCACCTCACTGAAGGGACTAAGATTTAGGGCAGGGTCCAGGTCTTTCCATGGCCTAGCTGTCTACTGCCTGTTGTTTCTGGGCAGAGTTGTTCTAGCCCCTCTGCTGACTGAGAATTATTTTCATTTCCTGGGCCTTAGTGCTTTAAATAAATCTCTATAGTAGGTCTAAATCTACTTTATTATTCTTTTCATATTAAAAGACTTCACCTCAAATGCTACCTTTTTGTGCCTCGGTTTTCTGATTGACAAAGTGCTGTGAGGATTTTTTTTTTTGGGTCCGGTCGTGGGGCCTGAACTCTGGGCCTGGGTGCTGTCCCTCAGCTCTTCAGCTCAAGGCTAGCGCTCTACCACTTGAGCCACAGCACCTCTTCCGGCTTTTTCTTTTTTCTGCTTATGTGGTGCTGAGGAATCAAACCCAGGGCCTCATGCATGCAAGGCAAGAGCTCTACCACTGAGCCACCTTCCCAGCTCCAAGTGCTGTGAGGTTTAAGCAAATGAATATGTATGGAGAGATCATAATAGCACCTAAACATGGTAACTCCACATCAAAATTTACTGTAGCTATACCATCATAGTAATATTGTAATGTTAAGGCTTGTGTTGTTATGATTTAAAACTACTATACACCAAAGGTCATCCTTAAGATGGCCTTTGATTTTTCTGTAGACTTTGCTTCCTTTACATGCTTTTTAATATCCACCACTATTTGTATCACTATCTACAACTATAGTCAATTTTATAATGTCTGTGTACTACATGAATATGTAATCTCCTTCAGATACTATATCTATCTTGGCCATCATTCATGTCCAAAACCTGGCACACAGGAGGCCCTCAGGAAATGTTGAAATGAATGTGTGATTAGAGGTATGAAGGCATCCAAGTGTACTATCCATTTCGGAGATGGAGGACCTTAGGTCCAGACAGTGATTTTTGCCTGTCAGTGGAGTACAAGATATGACATATAGAAGGGTTCTCATAGAAAGATGAAATTAAAATTCTAGTTGCAGTCAGATGGTGTATTTTCAAGGTCAGAATGAGCCTTCCGGCTTCCATCTCTGCTCTGTGTCTTTAGACAATATGAGAGCTAACAATGGTATTAATTAGTGTTATTCTAAGTCTGTTAATCTCCTTCCCGGATGAGAGCATTTGGTTAGATGATCCTTGCTATGCTTTGGGTCTCTGTCTCTCAATCTGAGGAGTCTACCTCTCAAACTAGGCTGGGTCTGTATCCCTGGAGGGCCAGCAGGGACAGACAGGTTAATTCTGCCCAACTGGTCCTTTCTCTCCAGAATCAAGATGGAGCCTGTGTCCAGTCAGTGTCAGTCATTCTGCACCAAGATCCTCGGAGGCAGGTGACCCTGACCCAGGCAGGGGACATCCTTCTTTTTGACCAGTACAAGATCACCCCACCCTACACAGACGGTATGGACAGTTAAGAGTTATGGGGGCTGGCTATTTAGGCCTCTTTCCTCTGGCTCCTCTGGTCAAAGGAACTACTACATGGGCTAGAACTCACATTCCATGGAAGTGGTAGCTCAGGCTAGGTTTCAGAAATATAGACTCATAAAATGTGTCTTTGTCCCCACCCCAACATGACAGTGGTCTCTCTAGTGGTGGTTTGATAGTTTCTGTCATTACCACATACACAAGGCTGTTGTTTTCAATATATACTAGTTATTATTTTACTGAATCCTGATTTCACAAGTGACTTACCAGTAAGTTATAGAAATATATTTAACAGAAAAGGAAAAACTTTTAACATGTAAAATTCAGCACTGAGGGAAGGAAGAAAGGAGGTAAATAAGGAACAAAGAAAGGAAGGAAGGAAGGAAGGAAGCTGGGAAGGAGGGACATAGGAAGAGAGGAAGAGAAGGAATAGCTACTTGTGATTGACAAGAGTGGGATGAATTGGGTATAAAAGGAGGTAAAACTTGTCACACTTGAATCTAAATTTGAAATTTGCCACATTGACTATATAGTTGTATTGTGAACATTGTGAAAACAATGAGGATTTTCACAATTCTCCTTGTGCTGGAGGAAGAAACAGATCGTTTCCTTAAGGAAAGGAAAGCTGTAATTGTCAGTATTTGATGGTGAAAGATTATTTCTCAGCTCTGGCTATCTGCTAGGTCCCAATTTCACCATCACAGTGTTCTCAGGCTGGGTGTAGTAGGGGGCCAGATTGGTGATAGTGGTAATGTTGGATTGTGCTGTACTGGACGAACTCCTTACATTCCATTTCTGGTTCTGTGCTCAGATGCTTTCGAGATCCGGAAGCTGTCCTCTGTGTTCCTACGGGTGAGGACCAACGTGGGTGTGCGGGTGCTCTATGACCGGGAAGGGTTGCGGCTCTACCTGCAGGTAGACCAGCGATGGGTGGAGGACACCGTGGGCCTCTGTGGCACCTTCAATGGCAACACACAGGACGACTTCCTGTACGTTCCCCCGCCCTGGCAACAGAAGGGGAGGCTGGCACCTTAGGGACATAGATGCAGAAGCCCGTGTGTCTCCTACCGGCTCTTACTGTGCTTTCTGTCCCAGAGCAATCAGTATGTCTTTCTTACCAGGGGCTTGAATGCTTTTGAATTTACACCCTGTGAGACTCTGAATAGTCTGAGGAAGTAGTTTCCCATGAGCTAAGTGAGTGGAGAGACCCGGAGGAGGGGACAGGAGTCAAGCCTTTCAGAAAGTGGGACAAATTGGTGATAATGGGGCTAGAAATTATAGTCAAAACTTCAGGTGGGCAATACAAAAGGAGAGCTAGGAGGAATCCTTTGCTCAGAAATAAGAAATTTGCAGAAATAAGAACTTGCAGATTTGCCCCTCCCCCAAAAAAAACCAAAGACAAGTCAGGTACTGGTGGCTCAGACCTGTAATCCTACCTACTCAGGAGGCTGAGATCTGAGGATCACAGTTTGAAGACGGAAAAGTCCATGAAACTCTTATCTTTAATTAACCACCAAACATCCAGGAGTAGAGCTGTGGCTCATGTGGTAGATCACTAGCCTTGAGCACAGAAGCTCAGGGACCGTGCCCAGGCCCGAGTTCAAGTCCCACAACTAGTACGTCCATGCACAGCCTCCTCCTCCTCCCTTACCTGGACAAGGAAAATTTCAAAGCTCTTGGATGAACATTTACAAATATACATTCTGTTGTCTTTACCATTGTCCTTTCTTGTTTTCTTGCCTGTTGGGATGATGTCAGGGCAGCTGGCCAGAATGGTGGAAGCAGACCTTGGCTTAGTGCATGGCTGTTTTACCTCTTAAGCGTGAGTTCTAGGGAGAGTGTTGCTATATGCAACGTGAGTGTCCTCACTGCCCTACAGCAGTAATGCAAACCTGGTGGGTGCAGGCAGAACCTAGCCCACAGGCAGACGACAGCTCTTTCCACTTTACCACTCATCCCAGGGTTGGTGACTCTTGAAGACCGGTCATGTCTAGGAAGCATATTTGTCCTTCTGCTGACCATGTGTCACCATTTCCTACCAAGAGAGCCAGAGGAAGGGGAGGGGGACAGCGTCATAACCCCGCGAGGCTTGGTGCTTCTCAACATGCCCCCATGTCTCCATGAAGAGTGGGGGAGGGTGCTGAAAGTGTACAGTTCTAACCCATTTTGAACTTTGTGCATCTTTAAATGAGTGTATAATTGTATGTGTTTGAAGGTGGTTGTATAGACTACCCTTGGCAATTTGCATGCTCAGTGTATATTTACTGTGTGTACATGTGTTGTGGGTGTGTGCAAGTAGTTTATATGGGCCTCTGAGGGTTACATTTTTAGGTGAGTACATTTGTACCTGAGTATGTGTTTCTATTTAGTCCATGTCTGTCTGCGTGTGTAAATGCTGGTATGTGCTTGCCTGGGTGGATGCTATATGTGTCCTAGGGTCCACATGGGCAAGTATGTGACTCTAGTTCTGTCATGGCTCTAGGTCCCCAGTGGGTGTGCCTGAGAACACCCCACAACTCTTTGGCAACTCTTGGAAAACACTATCTGCCTGTTCCCCCTTGGCCCCCAGCTCCTTGCTGGACCCCTGTGACATGCACCTGCAAGCTGGTGAGACAGGCGAAAGGGGGAGGCAGGGGGGATGGATGGACACGGGACTGCTTTGAGAGAGTTGAGATGAGAACTCACGTATGGGGATGCTGGCTAGATTCCCAGGAGAGAAAAGAGAAGAAGCTACAGAGAGGGCAGGAGAGAGGTGAGGGCCAGGGAGACAGGAAGCTTCAGGTTCTACCACTGTCCTGAACATGTACCTTTATACTGGTTCCTATCAAGGTAGGCCCAAAGTGGCCCCATCAGGCCAATTCCTGCTCTCCCTCTTCTCTCACTTCCTGCTTCCTCTGCCTTCCATTCTGCTTCCACCACACTGGTCTCCCTGCTGTTCTACCTGCACAACCTGGTCTGCACTCCTGCCAGGGGTTTGCATTTGCTGTGGCTTTTCCCACAGTGCTCTTCTCACAGATAGATATGTGTCTCACCCTCTCCATTCTTGCAATTGTTCTGCTCAAGAATCACCTTCTAATTGAGGCCTTCCTGACCACAATGCTTGAATTGCAGAGGCCACTTCTGCCCCTATCCCATGCTTGCTGCTCTCTGAACTTTCTCTCATTCATTAGATCCTTCACCTTCTAACTTGCTGTAGGGATTGTTTATACTGAGTGTCTCCTCTGACCAGAACGTAAGCCACAAGAGCATATGAATTTTCGTTATTTTGTATATCTCTCTGCTAGATAGGTTCCTGTCATGAGGCGGAATCCTTCCATAAATGCCTGTGCACACACGCACACACACACACACACACACACACTTCCGTACACAATGCCCACAGCCAGCCATTTATTTATACCCAGAGCGAAGTGTACCCACACATTCTCAGCCAGTGCACACTGAGGTACCTGCCTACTGCACACACACACACACACACACACACACACACACACACGCACACGCACACGCACACCACATGCCACACACAGAGAATCCTTTTGGGAAGGGGAGAGAAAGGGGAAGAGAGAAGGAATGAGGGAGAGAGGGGGATAGGAAGAAGAAAAAAAGGAAGGAGGGAGAGAAAGAAGGAAGGTGAGAGGGACTGAGAGAGAAAGAGAAAGGTGGGGGGAGACACTGAATCCTGGCAAGTCAGGCCCACTGGCTCCTATTTCCCTGTGCCCAGCCTCTTACGCACTGCAGTCCTGCAGTGTACTCACAGGGGAGCTGTTTGCGCCCTGCTCCGCCTACCTGAGTCCTGTGCCCTACTTCGAGCAGTGCCGTCGGGATGCCTGCCGCTGTGGGCAGCCTTGCCTGTGTGCCACGCTGGCCCACTATGCCCGCCTATGCCAGCGCCACGGGCTCCCAGTGGACTTCCGTGCTCACCTGCCAGCATGTGGTAAGTGCCCCATTCCTGTACACCCATAGCAGGTGGGCAGCAGGAGCCTGGCTTCCAGACAGGGGTGTCCCTTACCTCTTTAGACTCTTCGCTCTCCCCCAACCTGATCTGTTTCTCCTGTGCTCTCCATCTCTGCCAGTGACCCCTGTCCCCATCACCAGTCCAGATCCACCCATTTCTTACCATCTCCACTGCCACTGTCGTGGTCAGAGCCACTTTCTCATGGCTGCAGAATGAGCTTTCTCAAGAGCACTGACTCTGAGGCCCTGGGGTTTGGCTTAATAGGTACGAGGCGCCCCTGCCCATCCTACTCCACCCCTATGCTATGCTGTTCCCCATGGTTTAGTCATCTCTTAGCTCAGAACAGATCCAACTCATTGTGAGGTTTTAGCAAATAAGCAAAAAAAAAAAATGCAATGTACTGGGAGTCAAGAGATCTTGGCTCTACTCCAGCCTTGCAGGTGAACTGTTGTTCCAAGGCCTTGTAAAAGTCCCCATCCATCTCCAAGCTAGAGTTTCTCCAGAGGTGATTAGACAGAACCAGTGGTTCTCACCCCTGATGGCACATTAGAAGTTTAAAAAAAAAGTGCACATATCTGGGTCACATCCAGATAGGCACATATCCAAAACAGCACATCCTGCTGTGGGGTCTGGACATAAGCATGTTTTAAAAGTTCCCCTCCGGTGGCTTTGATGCTCAGCCTGAGTTCAGAACAACTGATCATGACTGCCTCAGTGGGTATGTAGTTCCTAACCTAGTGGGAGACCTCTGGGAAGTAAGACGGTGGCCAGATAAGCAGAGGGCAGCCCCGAGTCTTGGAGCAAAGCTTGAGAGACTTCTAGAGGGCATACAATTGCTCTTCAGAGTCCTATGAAGATGGGGACCTCCCCCTGTGTTACCACCAAAAAGCAATACTCTATAAGGAAAAGAAAATCCTGGCGGTTTTGCAGCCTGAACATGAATAGGTAGTTGGAGCCTACTTTACATTGTAAGAGGCAATAAATAGGGCTCTGGAGTAAGACCTGGGTACAAAGCTTAGCCTGGATCTTGAACTTGGGCAAGTAACTTAACTTCTTTGGTTCTCATGTTTCATTAGGATCATAACCTCACTTCATACAATTATGGTGATGAAAAAGACAAAACCCAATCCCTCTTTTCCCTGCAGCACTGTCCTGTGAGGCCACCAAGGAGTACAGCCCTTGTGTGGCCCCATGTGGACAAACCTGCCAGGATCTGGCCAGTCCTGAACCCTGTAGGGTTGATGGTGGTGACAGCTTTCATAGGGACGAGTGTGTGGAAGGATGCACCTGCCCACCAGACATGTATCTGGACATGAAAGCGGACCTTTGTGTCCCCAGGTAAGTGAGCTAACTTGACCTCTGTGTCAGGTCTCCAGGGCAGCTAACACTTGAGAGCAACACTGGGCTTCTAGTAGCCCTGGACCCTTGTCCAAGCCTCTCCTCAGCTCTGGCTTGGCAGGTCACTGACTCAGGCTGGCTTTCTCACCAGGCAGAACCACCCACCCAGCCATGATGGACTCTCTCTCCACTCAGCTACCCTTCTTTCACATGTATTTACATTCTGGTATGTTCTTCACATACAGCAATGACCAAGACAGAGTCCTGCCCTTTTAGAACTCACACTTCAGGGTAGAGAGACACACAAAAAGATATAGGACTAGGTGTAAACTGTAGCTATAAAACATATAATGCAGAGTGAGGCCAGAGAGTCCTAGGCTATTACACCTATGAGGTAAGCACAGGAGAAAGCCCTTGGCTAAGGTGACATCTGAGAGAGATCTAAGTAAAGGACAAGGTTCTAGGCAGATCAGTAGCTTGGGGCCTATGTATACTCCAGGTAGCCAGAGAACAGAAGTAGAAAGTAGTGGAGAAAGGCTTCAAATATCCTAGAACACTGGTAAGGCTCTTAGTGCCTTTCCAGGTTCATTTCTCTATGTGTAAAGTGTTATAATAATTACTTGGTTTCCCAATGGTCAAAGGGAAGAGGGAACTCATGAAGAGTAAAATAGGAATTACTCAGAGGCCTTTCCAAACCACAGACTCCTCCCTCAGGATCTAGATGCTCTCTCCACATCCACTCCTGGAGGTTAGGTGTTGCCAACAAATGAGGCCTTTGTGGGACCGGGGTAGATGAGTTCTGAAATCCCTTTGTGCCTTGGTTTGCTCTATTCTAAGGCCTGTGTGTGTCCAGAAGCAGCAGGTACTGTGGGAATTGTGGGATGAAAAGACATGGCCTTTGACCTCATGAGTCGAAGAATAAGAAGACAGCCTAAGAATCCCTACCTCCCAGGATCTCTGAGGAAGCATTTAGGCAGTGTATGTGAAGGGCTAGCCAGATGTCTCCTACCAATATTTAATGACCGGTCAGGACAGATGCTGAGTATGAATGACCAGGATGCCACATCAGCATAATGTTTTCTCACACAGTATGACATGGACTGAGGAAGTAGAGTCACACTCTTATCTTCTCCTATTTGTCATCCAAGGGAAGCCTGTTTGGGAATGGAAAATAGTGGGGCTGTCCTTATCTGATCTTGGTAGATGCCCAGCCCCACCTGACACCAAGTTGGCTTACCCGTACCATGGGTAACATGTCACATGTTACAAACGATTCCATGTGTCTTCTTGCCTCCAGCTGGCTTAGGCAGGTTCCTCGTCCTTGGTTGTATCTACTCCAGCCTCAATGTCTTCTCACCTTCCTTTGCATTTTTGTTTTTGTTTTGTAGGAACAAGTGTTCCTGCCACTTTCAAGGAGTGGACTATCCTCCAGGGGACAGTGACCTCCCATCTTTGGGCCATTGGTGAGCTTCTAGGATAGGAGCCTGTTGTTCTTGCTGCTGACTGAAGACATTGCAGCCAAGTAGAACTTTCCACCATGTGACACTCTCCTTCCCCCTCTGTACAGGGAGTGGGGGACAGTGAGTTGAGTGGGGGTGTCTTTCTGAACCCTAGAGTGATGAGTGCAGTGACTTGGGTGTGTGGGTCTTACAATGACCAAGCCAGCTAACTTCAACGCCCTTGTCTTTCTGCAGCCACTGCAAAGATGGTGTCATGAGCTGTGACAGCAGAGTCCCAGGTGAGGAGGACTGGACGGTGGGGACTCTCTCGCCCTCATGATAGCGGAGTTATGGAGAGGATAGTGGAAAGCTGGGGTGCTTATTAGAGTAGGATGAACCTACCCCAGATTTCCTTACTCTAGATTTTCCTACCTTGGGCCTTCTGTGTTTCTGCCTTCTTGGCAAAGGATCCATCTTGGAGGCTGGCATCCTCAGCCCCCACTAGACACTCCTGAGGTATCTGTACATTTTCATATCCTCCCTTGAGTCTTGGATTTCCTTGGTCTGAGCTGTCAAGAATCCACCAAGGTTGGCCTGGCCCTGCATAGTGCCAAATTTGGGGGTCACAGAGACAGGGTAGATGAAACAGTGGTATGTCAGTCTACTTGGGGTAAGGAGGTAGGGCATGTGAACTGGGGCCCTCAGGGCGGGCCTCCTGGGGTAGAGGAGCCTCCTAAGGATCAAGTTAGTGCAGAGGGGATGGGAGAATAATTATGAGGCAGGTGGGGAAGGGCAGGGCCTTGAGACTCAGTTGGGTTCAAATCTTTATTGACATGAATTGTGCAGCGTTGAGTATCTCATTCCACCCCTCTAGGTCTTCCTCTCTTGAAGATAACCCAGATTCCTACATACTATTCATGTTTTAGGTAGATTCTTCAAAGTTGTTGTTTTGTTTTGTTTTCTAATTTCTTGTGTTGGATTTCTGTTTCTTTGGGATTTAACTATTCCTTTCTATCTTCCATCCGAGCCTGGACATTTACTGATTCCCCTGTGCCCCCTCACCCTCCAAAGCATAAACAAAATTCACACCAAGTGTGAATTTGGCAGACTTTACTGAAGGCTTATGGAGAAAGAGTAGCTTAATGTCGAAGGTGGCAGGAAATTGGCTCCATGATGTTCAAAGTGCTTTGTCCATTTTGCTATGGTGCTTGGCTCCTCTCCTGGTCCTCCTGGGGCCTTTCCTGTCAGTCTATACTGTCTTTCGAAGCAGAAGTGACTTCATCCCATCACGTGGGTAGGGATAATAACACCATACAGGGTGATCAAATAAGACTAAATAAGATAATGCATGGGAAGTGCCTGGGGCAGCAACTGGTATGGCGGACCTGTTCCTGATGGTAGCAGTTGTTGTGTAATGTGACCATACACATCCAACTCTCCCTCTGCCATGGGTATGTAGAAACCCATGCAATACCCATTCTCTCCCTGCCTCCTCCAGCTGCAGGGCCCTAGGCCTCCTGAGTCCCCACTGAAGTAGGAGTCCATTCCAAGCCCAGAGGTTACAGCACCTACTTCTTTCCTTCCAGCTGTGGCTTGCCCAGCAGGCCAGGTCTTTGTGAACTGCAGTGACCTGCACACAGACCCAGAGCTGAGCAGGGAGCGGACGTGTGAGCAGCAGCTGCTGAACTTGAGCGTGTCAGCCCGCAACCCCTGCCTGTCAGGCTGCGCCTGTCCCCAGGGGTATGGACCTATGTTTCCTTCTTTCACCTGCGTGGAGTCTGGTAGAACCAGGGACCCTAGGGGAGGGGTGGGAACAGCCTCATACCACCTGGCAGGGTGGTGCTGGCCCAGGGCAGCCATGATGCCCAGGAGGAGCTTCAGAAAGAGCAGGCGCCTGAGGGTGTAGCCAGAGATGGGTTCTGTCTGGCTGTGCTTCTTGTTGAAAGTGTGGCTTTGGATGAGGGAGGCACATATCTTCTCTGAGACTATGTTTTCATCTTTGAAATGTGAGTGATGGTGCTCACCTCAACAAGGGGATCAAGTATGTTCCCAAAGTAGAAATGTTGAGTTGAAGGTCTGGTATGTTCACCCAAGTGATCTGATGGGTTGAAGACCAGGCCAGAAGAAACTCAGGTTTCAGCTCTCAGCCTCTTCATCTGGACAATTCTGAGCAGAGTCCTCAGGTGGAGAGCTGATATCCCTTAAATACTTCAAACAGAAAGCCTCACCCAGTACGAATATTCTTTCTTCTAGTCTCCTGAAATGTTGCCATTAAAGTCATATAAGAGTTCCAGGAGCTAGGTTTTGTGGATTTTGAGTGAGTCTCCATTCTTCTTTCTGTGAAATGGCAAAGTAAGCACTCTTATGTGAACAGACAGCATTGTCTTCACTCATTTGAATCCCAGATGTATTTTATAAATGCTACTCTAGGGCTGGGAAGGTGGCTCAGTGGTAGAGCGCCTGCCTTGCATGCATGAGGCTGTGGGTTCGATTCCTCAGTACCACATAAGCAGAAAAAAATGCTGGAAGTGGTGCTATGGCTCAAGTGGAAGAGCGCTAGCATTGAGCTGAAGAGCTGAGGGACAGCGCCCAGGCCTAGAGTTCAGGCCCCATGACCCGACCCCCAAAAATAAATAAATAAAAATAAATGCTACTCTAATGGAACACAGGAATGATTGAGTCCCTGTAAAAGGTAAAGAGAAGATAATCCACAAATTGAGAACAATTTGAGGGCAGATACCTCAGCCTTGAGTTTTCCTATGCTCTCCCCTGTGGTGGGTACATGTCAGGAACAAGGCGGGAGCATGGATGGTAGGTGGCAGTGTGCCTGGGACTGGGCCTAGGCCTGACAGCTGAAGACGGTGAACCCGATCATTGCTATGTCTGATACAATTATGGGGTAGCAGAAGACAAGGAAGCAGTATTTGTTGTGTATTTACTTGGTGCTAAACAGTGTGCTCAGGCTCATAATTCTCCTAATGACCTTGGGAGAGGGTGTCATTATCCATGTGTTATACATGAAAAAAAACAGAGACAAATAAAGATTAGCAGCTTTAGGTAAAACACAGTGGGTTGAGCACACCCCTTTACCCTCCAGGCTTCCTTCTACAATCACAATAAAATATTGGTAACGGAACGAAAGAGATATAAATCCTTAGAAACAAAGAGAAAGGAGTGGTGATGAAGATACCAGGATGACAATGCCCCAAGATAGGTTAATGGATTTTGAAGAAGGAACCTGGTTAGCCGTGTAGAGACTGATCGTAACGAGTCCAGAGGTAATCAAGGAGAAACAACTCACATTGTCTTGAGAGCTTCCAGAGCAGCAGTCGTAGGCATCACAACATGGCCTTGTGGGAGGAAGACAGGAGGGTGAACTGCAAGTCTCTGTAAGGAGCATTTAAACTTTGAATGTCCTCCCACATCCAAAGGAGACATGCTTAGAGTTGTAGCCTGAGAACTTCAGTACATGTCCTGAGATGATTCTCTTAAGCTCCAGCCTGATAGTGAGTCAGATTTCAGGAAGCCAGACTAGAAGGTAAGAACATGGTAGTTTTGGGGGCCTGTAGGCTGACAATTCCACTAAAACCCTTCAGGATCTAGTCGCTGGTTTATAGCTAGTGACTAAAGAGACCCTGATATCAACTTGACCAGGCAGGCCTGTGGCTGGGAAAGCTGAACCTTACCACCGATGTTTGGCAGAGACTTCTGAACTGGCCCTGGCCTGTCTCTTGGTTTTCCACTTACCAAGGTACCTCTGAGCTTCCTTGGGTGGCACCAGAATGGAATAGCAGATACATGGTCAGCTTCTTCTAGCATATATACTGAGAACTGCTTCATGGCACCTTAGATGCACAGATCAAGGCAGACTGAAGAAAGGTGCTCTTCTGATGACTTGCTTGTTGTGTCCCTACAGCCTGCTTAGACATGGGGACATGTGTTTTCCACCAGAGGAGTGTCCTTGCACTTGGAAGGGGAAGGAGTATTTCCCTGGGGACCAGGTGATGTCACCCTGCCATACTTGGTAAGTGAGGCCCTTGAGGAAGGCTTTGATTTTTTGTTGGGAAGGGCATGACTATGAAATACATTGTCAAATATAGTGTGGCTTTCTCCTTCTACTATGTTCAAGTTCATGGTGAATGCTTGTATGTCATGGAGGAGTCTGTGTACATATCACAATTTATGCATATAAATAATCTATTTTTATGTGCTAGTACTAGGGCTTGAACTCAGGACCTGGGTGCTCTCCTTTTGCTTTTTTACTCAAGGCTGTACTTTACCCCTTGAGTCACACTCCTACTTCTGGCTTTGTGGTGGTTAACTGGAGATAAGAATCTCATAGACATTCCTGCCTGGGTTGGCTTCCAGCTGTGATTCTTCTATCTCAGCCTCCTGAGTAGCTAGAATTACAGTCTCAAGCCACTATCACCTGGCATATTTTGTGTCTACATGAATGTGGGCTTATTCAAATGTGTATATGAATGTTGGGTTCTATAGAAACAAACTTGGGACTAGTTCTGTAGAGACTGCCCATCTTCTCCAAAGCAGTATTCCCCAGACACATAAGTGTATATCTATAGCATCCGATCCCTAGCTGTCTGACCCCAGAAGTCCTTGAGTTTTAATTCCAGGACATAGAACTCTATACAAATGTGCTCAAGTGATTGTGAGATTTCATGACTCTGATGGGTCAGAACTGACCAGAGTGCCAGGTACATGTGGCAAGAGATTGAAAATTGATGGCTTAGTCTTGCCAAGGGTGCCATCTGCAAATCTTTTTGGCTCTGCTTTTAAGATACACCTCAAATCTGACTCTTTCTTCTTCAGCAATTACCGTGCTCTGAGCTGCTATTTTTCCTCTTTCCTGACTTCCTGCAGTAGTCTCCAAATGGTGCATTTTCCCTCAACCCCCCAACCTTCAGCTTGGATTCAGTGTAGCAGCCAGAGAAGAGCACAAATCAGATAATGTCATGCCCATCATCAACTCCTCCAACGACATCCTCTCTCATTCTGTCATGGTCTTCTGAGACTATGTCATCTGACCTTCCACCATCCTCCAAGTCTTTCATCTAGTCTCTTGCCCTTGTACCATCTAGCCATCTCATCTCCCAAGTATACTGCAGGGCCTTTGCAGATGATGCTCCTTTTCAGCATGCTTTTCATCTAGATGTCCATCCAACCTCTTTTAAGACTGTTCACATGACCATTAGCCACTCCATTCTCATATATTTCCCAAGTCCCTTCAGCTTGCTGCTTCCACAGCTCTCACTGTCTTTCCAATACATTGTATTCCTTACTCATGCTTGCTATTTTTAAATTGTTAGTGTGTATCTTGTCCCTTTAGAATATAAGTTTCAATAAAGCAGAGTTTTTTTTAAAAAAAAATCTAACATATCTCAAATTCCTGGTAGAATGCCTGGGATATGCTAGGCACCTAGTCTTGACTGAATGCATGAATCAAGTGACAGAGTATGGATTTTAGAGTCAAAGGGATCTACATTACATATAAGCCCCATTATTTATTAGGTATGTGTCTAATTATGAGTCCAGAATCTCAGGATCAAAGTCCTGCCCTCTAGGCTTCTGTTGGAGGTGGGGGATATTTGTTGGCCTTCTTGCCTATGGACGCAAGGTGTGCATTCAAGGCTCTGTCAAGAGCCTTCAAATAGGGTGGGCTGGGTCTTGTGAGCCTCTGTGTATGTGTTTCAGTGTGTGCCAGCGGGGCTCGTTCCTCTGTACCCTGTACCCCTGTGCTTCGACCTGCACGGCCTATGGTGACCGGCATTACCGCACATTTGATGGGCTCCCATTTGACTTCGTGGGTGCCTGCAAAGTACATTTGGTCAAGGTGAGTTCCTGGGTGTGTCTGCCCAACTGACTCCATAGGGCTCCATAGACACCAGGCCTGGGGAATGTCAGGAAATATTAATGCTTTGCATCCTGATCTAGTACATAATTCGTGGGGTAGAGAATGTGGCTGCCAGGGACTAAAAGGGTTGAGTAGCAAATCAAAGCTGGAGAGAACTCGGCTGCCTCCTCACTATCATTATATATAAACTTGTCCATTGGTCCCACTGGTTTTTCTGTTTCTAAGAGAAAGGGCTAATGCCTAAAAGCTAGTGCTATTAATACAGTATATTCCTGGTGGTCTACTGAGCCATTTTTGTGGATTCTTTCACTCAGTTCTCATGGCAACCTCCAAGTCTGGGTTTGCTGGCTGTAGGTTATGATGTAGTAAATTGGGCCTGAGGACATTAGGGAACTTTCTGAGCCACACAACTGGTCAGCAGCAAAACTGTGCTGGATTTGAACTAAGAAATATGTCCCCAGTCATGACTCAGGGGCCCTGAGCTAAAAAGTCTTTAGTTTCTCTTAGAAGAATTGGAATGGTGATGCAGGTAGCACAGCAAAGGTAACAGCCCCACAAAGAGAGGCATGAACAGGGCATGTGGTACCTTGTGCTATTTTTTTTTATCCATTTAGCTAGCTAGCCAGTCATCATCTATTTATTTTTGACTTGAATTCTGGGCTCAAGTGGTCCTCCCACCTCAGACTCCTAAATACATGGGACAGCAAGCCTGTGTGCCATGGTGCCCTTATTTTATTTAAAAAGAACTGAAAGCATTGTATGCTCTTCATTATAATTTGAGGTAATATAGAAGAATATATTAAAATTAATATTGCTCTTCTGTTAAATAGCTACTCTTAAGGGTGAATACTGAAGGACCAGTTTCCATGGTACACACCAACACACATATATGTACTTATACATATACACTTTTTATGCCTGTACTGGGGTTCGAACTCAGGGCCTCATGTTCTTAAGGCTTATGCTCTACTACCTGACCCATGCCTCCAGTTCTAGCATTTTGCTAGTTAATTAGAGATATGAGTCTCAGATTTGTCTGGCCAGGTTGACTTTGAACCATGATTCCTTGATCTCAGCCTCCTGAGTAGCTAGGATTGCAGACATAAGCTTCTAGTACTCAGCTGCTATTTGCCTTTTCTACTTAAAAGTATACCTTGGGCATGATCTCATATTGTCAGTACATGTTTATTCTTTTGAACGTTGGTAGTACATTCTACATACTATGTTTTATTATTTATTGCTGGGCATTGAGGTTGTTTCCAGTATTTAAACCTTTCAGCAAATACTTGTGTGGCTGTGTCTTTTGATTGTTAGAAGTAGAATTACTGTATAAAAACTTAAAACATTTTAAATGATGTTTAATGCTGGCAAGCTGCCCTCCAATGAAAGGCTCACATCAAGAGTTTGGGAAAAAAATCCCTTCCCTACACCCATCAAACCCAATCATTCCTATTATATTAACTCACTCATTTATTCTTAGATCACTTTACATGCTAAATATTATGCTACTTCTCCTTCCCCCACCCCCACCTCAAAGAAACTAGCTTTAGAAAGCTGGAATTGCCTAAATCACATAGTTCACACAAAGTGGTTTGAAAACAACTTCAGGGTCCATGTCCCCCGCTTCTGTGCACTCAGCATATCTCCCTGGTTTTAATGAGTTCTCTTTTCTTCTCTTCAGAGCACATCCAATTTCAGCTTCTCTGTGATTGTAGAAAATGTGAACTGCTACAGCTCTGGCATCATCTGCAGGAAGTTTATTTCCATCAACGTCGGGAACTCACTCATCATCTTTGACGATGACTCGGGGAATCCTGTAAGGCCAGGGGCTGGTGAAGGTTGTGTTGCAGTGTGTGGGCTAAGGAGAATAAATAGGTGGGGACGAGGACAGGGGATGGCCGAGGCCTGGAGCATCATCAAGGCAGGAGCTCAGGCTAAATTCTTTGTCCAAAGTGAACTAGAGGTCAATGTCAGGACATGAAAGAAACAGAGGTATTGGTGAGATCCTAGGACTGGACAGTGGTTTGTAGCCAAACACAGCTGACCTGGATATTAGAAAACACTCGTTCCTGAGGACTGACCACCTCTGCCCCTTTAGAGTCCCGAGAGCTTCCTGGATGAGAAGCAGGAGGTCCACACCTGGCGAGCAGGATTCTTCACGCTGGTGCATTTCCCACGGGAGCACATCACCCTCCTGTGGGACCAGAGAACCACAGTGCACATCCAAGCCGGGCCTCAGTGGCAGGTAGTCACATGAGCAGGACATTTCTGCTTCAGCTTTTGCCTGGGGCTGAGCCAAGCTACTAGTTATCCTTGGCTGAGCAGTTTCTCCCTGAGGAGCCAAGAAGAACATACCTCTTCCCTACCTGTCCCCACCTGTTTTGTGTCCTTTTTCCTCTAATACTGTCCCAGCTGTTGCTTCTGAATCAATGTAAGACTCTGGGGCTCATGAGGATCCTTTTGCCCATGGCTCACCCTTGGTATGCCTGCAGCTGGACATGCCTTCTCTCCTTTTAGGGCCAGTTGGCAGGCCTGTGTGGAAACTTCGACTTAAAAACCATCAATGAGATGCGTACCCCGGAGAACCTAGAGTTAACGAACCCCCAGGAGTTTGGCAGCAGTTGGGCTGCAGTTGAGGTAAACTTCCCTGGGCTGATTGGAGCCCCTCATTCAGGTGGCACTTGCCACACTGGTCAAGGAAGAGATTGTTTGTTTTATTTGGTGTGAGGCTGCTCTTGGGAATTGCTCTCAGCCTCTGGTTGACTTTCCCTCAAGTAGAGACTCATATCTTCGCATCATCCAGTCTCACAGGGCCAGCTGCCCACCTGCCATTGGCTAAGTCCCAGGGGGAGGAGAGAGGGTTGGAGCAGGTAGTCTCTTTCCTAGGAGATATGGCCACCTAGTGGGGAAGGCCGTTCACATTGAAGCTTGACAGTCATCCATCCCCATTGCCTCTCAGTGCCTTGCACTGGCTCTGGTGCAGAGGAGTGATGTGGGCTGAGGAAATCACAGGGAGGAGGTGGGACTGGTGGTTCACCATATTTGGATAGAGGACTTTAAGAGGGAGGACACCATTAGTTGCTGGATGAACCTAAGTTCTTCTGTGTGGGTCCGCTCTGAAGCGAAGGAGCTGTTCAAGGACAGGGATGGTGAATGGATTTCACCTTGTGTGATGACTCTAATTAGTTAAATGAAGTTGCCCGGGGAGTGATGCTGAGGAATGACTTGGGTCAGGTTCAGTTGCAAAGAGAATTATGATCAATTATTTATGTCTGCCTTGGGTACAGCAGTGGAGATAGTAGACGTGAGTATTTCATATTTGTCATTTCTGGACTGAGTGATCTTAATTCTCCAATGGGTATGTAGGTGGAGAAGAGCTTGTATGACTAGGATCTAGTGAAAATGTAGATCTGGGGCAAGATGTAGGGAAAATCTGTATTAGTCATCAATTGCTGTGCAACCATGTTAAACCTTATAGCACCAAACACCATGTCTGTCTTACTTCAGTTCTGGGTTTAGGAATCAGGGACTGTGGCTTGGTTCTCTGCTTAGTATCTAACAGACTACCCCTGGAGGCCCCACTGGAGAAGGAATGGCTTCCCACTCATTGGTATGATTGTGGGCTATGTTCTGTTTCTGGCAACTTACAGGAAGGAGAGTTTCAACCTTGGGGGCAGTTGTTGCCAGAGACCACCTAGCTCCAAAAGGGTTCCCAGCATGGCTGTTTGCTGCTTCACAACCAGCAAGGGAAAGACTTTAGCTAGTTGAGCCCTGAGATTTTGCATAATGGGTCAATGCAAACACATAGCCACATACATCTCTTTGAATCCCTTTGAAGCTGTAGCCCTCTGCAGCTCTCCAGAGGAGGGGATCATACAAGGACATGAATAGCAGATGGTCATTCTAAGAGTCTCTGCCTACCAGCAACAGACATTCAGGGGCTGAGGGAAATCCAGAGTTCTGTCTTTGCCCCTCAGTGCCCAGAAACTCTGGACCCCAGGGACACATGTGTCCTGAATCCTCTCCGAGAGCCATTTGCCAGAAAGGAGTGTGGCATCCTCCTCAGCTCCGTGTTTGAGACCTGCCACCCTGTGGTGAGTGGACCCACCTCAGCCCCTCCTGAGCTCCCAGAACTTTCCCCAAACCCATTCTGCTCCCAGGATCCCTCATGCCTCAGAAGAGACACCTCAAGTCTAGAGAGAGATCCGTCTCTATTATCTGCTTGCCCAGATGAATCTGCCTTGTGTCCTTTGGTGACTAGAATCAGCCAGCCAGTAGCTTCTGGGCCCTTTGCAAGCGCATCTCTGTCTGGCATGTCTTTCTTATTAGGAAGTTCTGCTGTAGAGTGAGTGCAATCTCTCATGTTCTAGCTCTAGTTTTTTTGTTTTTATTTTTGTTTTTGTTGTTGTTTTTGTCTGCTCTCTGGCTTCCATGGAGATGAGTGCTGGGGCTGAGCTCAGCATACCACCCTGGGGCTTAAAGGTAGCTGTTAGGCTGGCTTGGGCTGCCTTGGGACTGGTTGGCTGGCCATGTCAGACTCTACCTATTCTTTTTTGTCAGTTGTAGGGCTTGAACTCTGGGCTTGGGTGCTGTTCCTCAGCTCTTCAGCTCAAGGCTAGTGCTCTACCAATTGAGCCACATTGCCACTTCAGTTTTTTTTGGTGGTTTATTGGAGATAAGAGTCTCCTAGAGTTTCCTGCCTGGGCTGGCTTTGAACCATGATCCTCAGATCTCAGCCTCCTGAGTAGCTAGGATCACCTGCATGAGCCACCAGTGCACAACTTCTACCTATTCTTTAGTCACTTTCCTAGCCTTTGAGTGAACATTCTGGGCTCTGGGGAAGAGAGCAGTGTTCTCAAAAGTGTATGTCTATAAGTGCCATGGACTTCTTGTTTCCTTCCCAAATGTCTGCCTTCTTCTACCAGTCACCCCACACAGATGCTTCTCCCCAGGCCATGGCTCCATCATGTTTGTGCTGGTGGCCATTAGATGGAAAGTTGTCAGTCTAACCTTCAGAATCTGTCCCTTGACCTCTGACCTCCCCCAGGTTGATGTCACTTGGTTTTACTCAAACTGCCTGACTGACACATGCGGATGCAGCCGGGGTGGTGACTGTGAGTGCTTCTGTGCCAGCGTGTCTGCCTATGCCCACCAGTGCTGCCAGCATGGGGTAGCTGTGGACTGGAGGACCCCCCGCCTCTGCCGTGAGTGTCCCCGACCCACCATCTTTGGGGCTAGGGTCTACTGAGTACTCTCTGCGTGATGGGGACCAGCTGATTTCTTTGTGTGCATTATTCACTGAGGTCTTTTTAAAATTTTTATTGTTATCCTAAAGGTGATGTACAGAGGGGCTACAGTTACATGTCAAGTAAAGAGTGCATTTCTTTTAGGACAATGGCACACCTTCCCTCTCTGTCTCCCAGTTTTTCCCTTCCATCCCCACCCACAAGTTTCATAGTTCATTTTTAATGTAGTGTCTATTGAATACTACGTCTACATTTGTCCACCCTTTCTTTGTCCCTTTACTTTCACTGAGCTCTTACAATTCTCTTTTGATTTTGATTTTTTTGTGTGTGTATGTTGGTCTTGGCGCTTGGACTTGGGGCCTGGGTGCTATCTTTGAGCATTTTTGCTCAAGACTAATGTTCTACTAGTAGAGCACAGTTCTACTTCTGGCTTTTTGGCAGTTAAGTGGAGGTAAAAATCTCAAGAACTTTCCTGTCTGGGCTGGCTTCCAACTGTGACCCTCAGTTCTCAGCCTCCTGAGTAGCCCTGGCTACGGGTGTGAAGTGATTGATCAAGAAATTCATGACTGATTTTTTTTTTAAGTATTGGGAATTGAACTCATGGTCACACACGTGCTAGGTAAGCTGTCCAGTGGTAATATAGGAATACAGAGTCCTACAACTTCCCTTTGGAATAGAACTGTAAATTACTGTGTTGCACTCAGAGAACATGTAGTCTGGAGACTTAGAGAAGTAACCAGATCAAGTCACATTAAGCCAGTGGGGGGTGGGGCAGGCCCATCCTCAGACAGTCAGGTGCAAGCCTTCCTATCTACCTCACTAGAGGAGTCCAGAGGCCTGGGCTCCAGGCCCAGAAATTACATTTGCATGCCATGTGACCTCAGACAAGCCACCCAGCTTTTCTTAGGCTCAATTTTCTCATTTGAAAAATAGATAACTCTGTCTTGCCAGGTTTATTGTGAGGATCAAATGGGAGTAATGAATACACAAGCTCTGTCTTAGCTGAGGTTTGGAGGTCCTATTACAAGTATCCATTCTTTCAGAGCAATGGAAGCCTGCAAACACAGTTGATTGTACATTTGCTATCCAATAAGAATATTACAATCGCATATATATACATATGCAAATATATATATACATATATTCTATTAGTGTGTCAATGCTTACCACAAAACAAAATTAAATATTGCAACTGATATTTAATATTATGTATATGGTAATGTTCAAAAGTAAAATAAAATAGGTTAAATTATTCATTAATTGATAATTATTTATATCTGCACACACTGGATTCTCCTGGTCCAACTCTCCAGGTTCAGATCTGAACTCCACCAAATCAGATAGCCTTGCACCTTCCTTGTATTCTGAATTTTATTTCTGTAGTAGGCGAGAACTTGCTGGGAGAGTTAAATGGGACAAAGCATGCAAAGAGTTTGATATTGCCTCATACCCTGTGGTGGGGTTGCCATTGCTTTGTCTGAGTCCCAGAAAATCTAGGCTTTTACAAAGTTAGTTACTTTTACAATCTTAGTTACTAAGGAAGAAGATGGAGGAGCATCTGCTTTTGGCCTCCATTTTCTCTGCCTGTTTTTCCCTGAGTTCCTTCAGCAGAGATGCCCTGGGGCATCATAGGGTCTTCCTTTCCTGCTTTTTCTGTCATAACAATCCTTCAGGAAGGAGACGATACACAGGTTCACAGTGGATCTCCAGTGCACCAGGCTTTGTGCCACAATTAAATTAACGTTTCTCATTGTCAAGATGAGGGTGAGGCAAGTAAAGCACATCCCTGGAGAGGTGAGACTTAAGGAAACATCAGAAAAAACAAGGATCAAGTGAAATAATACCTTTTTTTGGTAGGTCATGGGACTTGAACTCTGGTCCTGGGTGCTGTCCCTCAGTTCTTCAGCTCAAGGCAAGTGCTCTATCACTTGAACCACAGCACCACTTCCAGTTTTCTGGTGGTTAATTGAAGATAAGAGTCTCACAGACATTTCTGCCTGGGCTGGTTTTGAACTACAATCCTCAGATCTCAGCTTCCTGAGTAGCTAAGAATACAGGTGTGAGCCACCTGGCATGAAATAACATTTTAATTCAACATGGATACACATGTTTTCAGTGCTGGGGATTGAATCCAGAGTTTTGTGCATGCTAGGCCAGTATTCTATAACTGAATTTCATCCTCAAACTTCGAGGTTTTGCTGGTTTGCTTTAGAAAACCCATAAGGAAATTTTCTAGGAAAGAAGGTAAAATGAGGAACACTCATGTGCATTGTAGTGCCAGGATGAGGTAGCGGGAATTACTGTAGACAACCCTGGAGTCACTAACACATGGAACCCTTGCTTTTTTGAGACAGAGTCTTACTATATATCCTAGGCTGGCCTCAAACTCATGATCTTCCTGCCTCTACTTTCCAAGTATGGGAGTTATAGATGTGAGCCATCCCATTTGGCTCAATACAGTTTTTTTCTCTTTCTTTTATTTTTATAAATAGTGTTTTTTAAAAGTAAGAGCTGGCTCAAGATACCCTTAGTGAACGAAATGTCAGAGGATCAATATTATAGATTTTTTTTCTTTGTGTCTCAGGCTCCACTGTGGCTCAGTGAGATACAGTTACTGACTCGGTGCTTATCTTAAAATTGCAGTATTTTGTTTATCATGGATTTTTGTATTCATTTTGATGTCAGAAATATTGTCAACCTAAATAGTACAGAGAAAGATTTTTCAGAGATTAAACAATAAATATATTGCAATGGGAATGCATGTGCAGTAGTAAATTGTGGGTGTATTCGAAGGAGTTTAGTCAAGGGGAAATTTTTTACAATAAACGGAGGAGACTGCAGGAGATGTTTTACGAATAATTCTTAGCCATAAAAATCAGAGCTAGGTGTGCTCAGGATCACTAACAAGGATTTTCCCAGTCCAAGCTTAGACAGTTGTAGCATTTTCTTTTCTTTTTTCTTTTTGTCAGTCAGGGGCTTGAACTCTGGGCCTGGGTGCTGTCTCTGAACTCTTGAGCTCAAGGCTAGCACTCTACCACTTGAGCCACAGTGCTCTTCCAGTTTTCTGGTGGTTGATTGGAGATAAGAGTCTCATGGAAGCCAGACACCGATGGCTCATGCCTGTAATCCTAGCTACTCAGGAGGCTGAGATCTGAGGATCCCGGTTCAAAGCCAGCCCAGGCAAGAAAGTCCATGAGACTCTTATCTCCAATAAACCACTCAAAAAATAAAAACAGAAGTGTCTCTGTGGCTCAAGCGGTAGAGCGCTCGCCTTGAGTTGAAGAGCACAGGGACAGCGCCCAAGCCCAGAGTTCAAGCCCCAAGACCAAAAAAAAAAAAAGAGTCTCGTGGACTTTTCCTGCCTGGGCTGACTTGAACTGTGATCCTCAGATCTCAGCCTCCTGAGTAGCTAGGATTACAGGGATGAGCCACCGGCACCAGACTAGTTGCAGTATTCTTTGTGCAAGGTTGTGGTGGTCTTTCTATAGGGTTGTGGATCTGACCGTCTTCTGTGGATAATTCTGATTCCTGGGAGACATGTATGAGAGTCTCTTCTTCATATTCTACCTGCCCACTTACTATTTTGTTGTTGCTGTTAGGGCTTGACACAAGTGACTTTATTTTGATTTTGACCCATTTTTGTAATCTTAATTGCTGAGGATTTGGTCCCCATGAAAGAAGTACTTTGCCTTACCTAGGGAATCCAGGAAGGTGTAGGCAGAGGTCCCATCTTAGAACAGAGATAGCAAATAACTTGCCCTAGTGTAGGTAATGGATGAAAAAGAGAGAGAGATGGGATTTAAATTTTGGTCTGACCCTAGAAAGCTGGCTTTTAATGACATTTTTTGGGCTCTCTCCCACTGACCTGATGCACATATGAAAGCAGAGAGTTGGCCATCTTGTAATTTTCTAAGTTCAACCTTCTGAATCCACTAATGAGGAAAGGCACACATTTATCTGTAACTGCACAGCAGATAATTTCTGGAAGGCAATGCGAAATGTGCTGAACATGGTTTTAGGGTGTAAAGGGGGGGAAGATGGCTCCTTACAGACCATGTCTACAGCTAATGGAGACCCCTTCTTAGCTCAGGCCCATCAGTTGGTTCCTCATGCCTTGTTCCTGGCATTATGTGTCCCCACAAGGTCCCCAGTTTACCACTGTGGCTGGAATCCATGTAGAGGTGCTAGGGAGACAGGCTGTGGTGCTATGATTTGGCCACTAGAGGGCATGCTGAGCCCACAGTCAAAGGAGATTGTCAAGGCCCAGATGGTTTGTAGAAGACCTTGCCAGAACCAAAGAAACTATACAGAGATGAACTAAACAAGCCTGGGTCCCTGAAAGCCCTTGGTCTCCTACCCAGGCTTCTTGGAAACAAACTTCTGTTTGTATTCCTTTGGGACATTTCCAATTGGAGCATCAAGCCTTGGTTCTAACCAAGGTCATAATCTACTCTGTGTATAACCTACTCTGTAGGGCCACCACCCTCTGTCCAACATTTGCCCATTCATTCATATTCAATACGTTCTGGAATATCTACCCTGGACCTTGAGCCTTGTGCTGGAGGTGCTCAGAGGAACCACTGTATTTCATCCACTTAAAGTCATTTAAATAGAAGACCATCTCTGGATCTTGAAGTTCAGACTCAGGCCCTTGCGGAAGGGAAGAGGCTAGGTCGGAGTTCCTTTCTCTGTCCATCTGCTCCAAGCTCTGAGCCGGCTCACAGGAAATCTCTATTCTTTCTTTTTCAGCATATGACTGTGACTTCTTTAACAAAGGTAAGTCCATTGCCCACAAGGTACCTCAGGAACCTGTTCACTGCCAGCCTTGCCCTTTTACCACACCAGCCCAGCCAGACTGATGTGCCGCTGCCCCCAGAAGAGCCATGGCTTGGGGGCTGGGAGGACTCCAAGAGAGAGAGAAAGAGGGGGGGGGACAGACAGATAGATAGACAGACACAGCACAGAGACAGAGACACAGAGAGAGACACAGATACAGAGACAGGGAGAGAGACAGAGAAAGCACATCTTGACAGTGCAGAACACATAGATGCCCAGGAACTCAGTTCCCAGTAGTTTCTACAGTCCCAGTATGGGGCTCAGGCCAGCCAGTTTCCCAGAGACTAGGCTCACTCAAGTCAGCTTAAATAGGAGAGAAGAAGCCACTTGTACCAGAGTGCCAGCAATGTGGCTTTCTTAATCAAGCTCATCAGTTCTACAGAATGTCATCTTGAGTTCCCTGAGGATTTGAGTTGCAAAAGCAAATGCAAACTGCTCTTTCTGAGGAGCGCTGGGGCAAAACATATGGCCTGCCAGATCTGTCTTTAAATATAGTTAAGCTTGCAGGGTATCAGGATATGTGCCAACACCTAGATTATTAACAGAGGTGAAACACAGATTATAACTAGGGATCCAAGGGAGGTTAGTGTCCAGTGTTCAAGCTACTGAGTCCATTTAATCACTGAGCTTGAGTGGGCAGTGGCAGAATGGTTGTTTTCTGCACTGAACTTCATCCAGTTGGGTCAAGTCAGGCTTTAGTATAGTTAGCTGCTTCATCTAGTCCACAGTGCTGTTCACCTCAGACTCCTAAGCCCCCAGGTACCCTCTAGGTGCTACCCTGCATGAGCTGGCCTATGTGGCCATAGGCCCAAGACTATGTCCTCATCTACTTTCATTACCAGTTTTGGTTTGAGAAACACCCCTACCCCTGGGAAAAAATATGGTAGATGGAATTGAAGAAGACAGACCAGAGAGAAAGATACCGCAAGGCCATATGAAAGATGAAAGCTGGACTTGGGATCTAGCAATAATAATTCAGCGATACAATTCCAATTCCATCCAAATGTTAGTCCTTTGGGACTTTATGAGTCACCAACTCATAAAGGAATGGGTCTGTATTGGGAAAATCATAGTTCCCCAGGACAGGCAGTGTCTTTCTGACTTCAGGCGAGACATTTCAGCAAGACAGCTCTGAGCAGAGATTTTTCCCCCCTTCTGTGGCATTTTAAGTGGCAGTAACCGGCAAAGGACAAGCTGTTTCTAGCATCCTCCACCTACCACCCACCCACCCATCCATTCCTTGCTTTGTTCTGTCGACATTTGCTGTGGTCAGGCCTGGTGGGGTGCTGGGAAGTCAGTGGGAACTGGAACCTGGTATAGGGGTGCCCTGGAAAAGGCTCACACTGCCTCCCAAGCACCAACGGTGTCCCTAACTCTGCATCCAGTGGTTAGTTTAAAAGTGATGTCTGCTGGGAGCATTTATACCACAGGAATAAGCAAACACCGAACATGGTTTTTTTGTTTTTTTTTTTTTGAGATGTTATTGACCATTTACCCACACAGCACTTGTCTATATACTCTCTACTGGGGGAGACAGATAGAGAACTCAATTCAGATTCACATCGCAGAGGTATGACGGATGTGTGTCTGCTCCTAAAACTGGCAGAGCGCAGAGGAGGAGGAAGATTTTTCTGTGTGGCAGAAGAGGGTTCCGGAGTGGACATTTGAGCTGGCCCCTAGCAATAGAGTAGGCATTTGCCAGGCACCAAAAAGGGAAGACTATTCTGAGGGGGTGGAATGGCACAATGAAGACAGGCTGAGCCAGAATGTGGCTCTTTCAAGGAAGAGAGCAAGCAAGTTTGGTGTAGCAGGAGAGGATGGAGAGAAGTGGGGGTCCAGAGGGTCAAGAGCCCCCAAATTGAAGGTAGGCTCTTTTGGATTCTATCCTGAAGGCACCAAGGATGACTGGTGAGTCCCAGTAGGAATGTGGCTGGGGAAGTGACTCGGGAAGCCTGAGGAAGGCGATGGAGGGTCAGGACACATCCCAAGCAGCAAGCTCAGTTACAAGTCTGTTAGATTTGTCTGGGAAACCCACGTCTCATTCCAGCCTCTGTGCATATGTACAGAAACCTCCAAAATACAAATGTGCACGTGCTTGAAACCAGTAGATGATCATTAACATTGAGCTCTGGCCTCCTGGCCTTCATCCCTCAAGCCATGGATAGGCAGAGACCAGGGGTGATGAAACCGGTGTAGAGAGACGTTTGAGGCCTCAGATGCCCCCTGAGGCCAGCTTTCCCAGGCTCCTTGTGGGATGATTCCATCACTGTGCAGAGGGCCAGTTTCAGCAGTAGATGCCAGCCTGGGGTCCCCCTCCCTGCCCCTCTTCCTACTCAAGGACATCAATGCTTCTGGGACCTGGAATAAGAAGCCACTAAGAATCCTTTCCTGGTACCCAGTCTCTTCCCTAGATTGGACAGGGTGGGATAAGTGAGTGTGGGGGTTCTGACTGAGCTTTTCTCTCCAGCACTGGGTAAAGGCCCCTATCAGCTGTCCAGCATGGTGGCAGGTGGTGCCCTGGTGGTCGTGAAGGTACTGGGTGATGGCCTAGCCCTAGTGAGGGCAAAGGATGTGGCTCCAGGAGACATTGTGAACTTCCTGCTGACAGCTGCTCTGTACAAGGCCAAGGTCCACGGTAAGGTCCATTCTGGGAAGGTCCATTCTAGCTCATTTGGGAAGGAGAGAGGCAGGTGCTGGAGGAGGAGAAGGTGTTGAAACACTAAGCCATCTACTGAGGCTGGAGGAATGAAGACACCAACAGGTTCTCACCTCCCAGTTCAGCCTGGGCTTCTGGGACAGTTAATTAGCCTCAGTGAAGAAAAGAGATACTTTCCATCTTCCTCCCCAAATACCAGGGAGGCCAAGGCCAGATGCGGCTTTCTTTATACCTTGCATTGTGCAGCTTGTATGTTTTAACACAATGGCAACTCCTCCTCCTTCTCCTTCTCCCTTTTGTCCTCACTCCTCCTTCTCTCCTTTCTCATTTTCTTCCTCCTTCTTTCCTCTCTTCTCACCGATATCCCTCTCCTTCCTGTCCACTTCCCTCTCTCCCTTTTATTAATCCCATGCGAGGCACAGGAATCTGGGATGGGTGAGGGGCAGTCCCTGCTGAACATCAGTCTCAGTCCCACAGGGAGGATGGCTAAAGGCATGCACAACACCCAAGTCAACACTAGGGGGAGCCCTTAAGTCAGTCTTGGGGAGCCAGCAGAAGCTTCTTGGAATAAGTGACCTTCCCCCTGAGGGCTGAGAAGGACAAGAAAGGGACTTGGCTAAGCTCAGGAGTGGGCACTGAGGAGCCCTGGAAGGGGTATAGGAGAGAAAGGACGTCTGCCCTGCCCCAGGGGAGCCACGGTCCCCGTTCTCAGTAGTGCAAGCTGGGGTCCAGTAGGAAGTGGCAGGTGGAATTATTACATGGCTGCACAAAGAACCTGAGAGTGAAGAGCCAAGACCCAACCTCCGGAAGGTCGGAAGTCTTGGACTCCAAGATAGTTCTTCCTGCTTAGTCATTTCTGAGCCCCAGATCCACGTGGTCCTCCTTGAAGAGGTTGTGAGAACTTTCTGACCTTCTTTCAGTGTAGTGGTAATCATACGTAGTCAGGAGTATGTGCTGGCATTCCTGCAGCTCCATGGACATACTACAGCACAACCACTGAGACGTTCAGCCTCAGAGACCTTGCCAGGCAAAGGACTGCCCAGCCCAGGCTCAGTCATCATCAGGCCTGGGTCTCATCAGCCTAGCGAAGGCCCAGGCTCTCCTGGCCCTTGTCCTGTGCTCCTTCCCCTGTACTATACATACCTAGGGTATTAGATAGCAAAAGAAAAAGTGAGATCTTGGGGTCTACACAGAGGAGGAACCCCTTGTCTTGGGAAAGTTGGTGATGGAAAGAAACAGGGAGCAAGAAGTGTCATGGAGACATTGGAACCTGGCAAATCGCCAAAGCCCAGCGTCTCTCCCGTGTCTGACAGAATGTGCCCTCTTTCAGGGCAGCCGTTTCTGCCTGCTTTATTTACTGCCGAATCTTGAACGTGTAGAATAACACAAGGCCCGAGGAAAGGAGAAGTCGGGGAGCTAGGGGCAGCCATGGAGGAGTAGTCACTAACAGAGCGGACATATCCCAGCCTGTTGCCCAGCTCCAACTCTGGGCCCCCTTTTCGTCACTGACCTTTTTCACCTGGCTCTGCAGACCCGGATGTGGTATCCCTGGAAGCAGCAGACAGACCCAACTTCTTCCTCCATGTCACAGCCAACGGGTCTTTGGAGCTGGCTAAGTGGCAGGGCAGTGAAAGCTTCCACCGCCATGCCTCCTTCTCGGTGCATCGGGGGACGTGGCAGGCAGGCCTAGTGGCACTGGAGTCCCTGGCAAAGCCTGGCTTTTTCTTCCATGTGTCTGGTCTGGGACTGGCTCTGCGGCTGTATGAGCACACCGACGCCTTCCGCCAGGGCACACTCTTCCATCTTCTGGGTAAGTGACTACCCGGCCATCATTCTTGACACTTCCTCCTTCCCTCTCCTCCACTGTTCTTCCTGCCCTCTTCCTCGCTGCCTTCAGTGGTCCTGCCTGTAGGACCAGAGGTGGCCCATCCTCCATATTGGCAGGCTAGGGAGCCCTAACCACGTGGGTTGGGGTCCAGCCAATTTCCTGGGTCCTGCCTAATGCCCCAGGCCACAGGCCAATGACACGGTCTAAAAATACATGGCCTTTGTGGAAGTGAGGGGAGAAGCCACTGTGGTAGCCTGTGGCTCAGATTTCTTGCCGAAGGGGCTCATGTCTACCCATGAACTGCCCACTGGAGCGCCAGGGCTGAGCAGCCAGAAGCCCAACTCTCCCATGGAGGGCCCAGATAGTGAGAGGGCTAACTCCCTAATCTTTCCAGTTGAGGCTACTGACTATTCTCTTTTGCTAGGTGAGTCTGTCTTTGTCTCAGTCCCAGAGGGGCCATGCTTACATTCAGCTCATGTACTGAGTCCTCTTGTAACACCCACAAGGACAGATTTAAAACAAACCAGGGCAGCAGAACTGCTGGGATTTTTCACTAGGAGACACTGGGAAAGGGTAGAATAAACACAGATTATAAAGCCTGGGTTCAAATTTTGACCTTGGTGCTTGACACTGGAGGGGAACTTTCATCTCAACTCTGTAAATTTACCTGTACTTTGCCTTCAAAGGATATTGTGAGGATTGAAGACTTTTGCAGGCTGTTCTCTGGGCAGGATAGAGAGTAAATGCTCCCAGGAGTCAGTCTTGGCTTCAGATCTTCAAGCTCTTTGAAAAACAGGTGTCTGCATTCAGCAGCAGCTGGGGAATCAGGGTGCCTCGAAGGGACTCCTGGGGTGCCACTGCTTCCTCGGGTCTCCATGGAACCTGCTGCACTACCCACTCTAGCTGCTGTGTAGAGACTGTCACTTGTGCCAACATAGTCTAGAATCTGGTCTACTTCACTAACTTTAATCTCCACACCCCATAGGCCACAGACTTCTCATTTATCAAGGCACAAGGGACAGGGCCTCTTTGGAGAACATCTTCACAAGTTTATTTCCCCTCCCTGATTTCTGTTTCTGTTTCCTCATCTGTAAGCTGGGAATCATGTCTGCTTTAGAAGATGATGAAGAAGATTTAGGAAGGGATACAGTGAGCGGTGTGGGGGCAACATTTGGTGTCTTCATTGTCCTTATTACCATGAGTCCAGCTACCAGAGGCAGCAAGAGCAGTGCTCACAGAGCACCAAGTCCTTTAGTGGGGTGACACCTCTGGGAACAGAGGGCGGAGCTTAAAGATGAACAGAGGGTGGAGCTTAAAGATGGCCCCTCCCCTGTGAGGGCTGTCTTCGCAGGAGGGCCTTGTGTTCAGATAGGAACAGGTCTCCAGATGCTCTCACCTCACCTGTCACGGGACAGCCCTTCCTCCAAGGAGGCAGACAAGGCGAGATGTCAGGGATGCAAAGAATCCTGGAACCAACATCTCAGAAGGGCAGGGCAAATGGGGAGCCTTGGGGGAGAGATCAGGAGTCTCTTCAGTCAGTCCTTGAAACCCACCCTTAACGACCCATGCCAGACCCATGCTAGACTTCCCTCAGCCTGAACCCTCAGATCATCAGGATCCCCAAGCACTGACCCCAGCCCCTTGGTTTGGCTTTTTACCCTTTCTCTGTGTTTAGTCCTAGTGTCCCCTCTGTAGGGCAAGGAGGACATGGTGGTGAGCTGGGAGGCCCTCTGTGCTGTGATATCTGACCCAGAGATGGTGTCTGATCATGCTCAGTCCAGAGACTGTGGGTGGGTCACCTTTCTAGATGCCAAGCCCTCAGGAGCTGCCTATCCTATCTGTGAGTGGCGCTACGATGCCTGTGCCAGCCCCTGCTTCCAAACCTGCAGGGACCCACGGGCAGCCAGCTGTCAGGATGTGCCCAGGTGAGAGCCAGAGGATCATGAGCATGGGGTTGAAGTATGTGCACCAGTGTGTTGTACGCAACTGTATACACACATGGGCTTGTCTGTCGTCTGGGAGCATGTGCATGAATTCACACAAAGGTGTGTATGTGTACCTCACATGTCTGTGCATGAGTGCTTCATGTGTTGCATATACCCAGTACATATATGTAGATAAACCATATGCAAATATAGATATGCATACAGCTGAGCCTTATGTGTGTTTGCCTGGGTTGTACACAGTTGTACATGTGAACACATCTGATTTCCATGAAAAAGGTGATCTGTGCAGCTGTGTGTGAGAATGAAGGTATACATACTGCTATTTGTGAGAATCTGTGTGAATGTGTGTGTATGGATAGGTGGATGGATACATGGACAGATTGAGGGATGGAGGGATAGAAGGGTCACTATTTTATCAACCTGCGTGATTAGAGGGAGATATGAGGGTATGTACACTGTGGCTAGGATGTGCACAAATGTCTTCATATTCACATCTTATCCAGCTCTGTCTCTCTTGGGGGAGGGAGCCATGTTCAGCATACACATTTGAGTCTGCATACACACGCATGTGCACAGTGCAGTGTTTGTGCTCTATCTAGGTTTAAAGGGGGTGACCAGCTCTATATACTAGGCCACTAACCAGGGTCCCTGCTCTATCCTCAGGGTAGAAGGTTGTATCCCTGTGTGTCCTGCTCCCAAGGTCCTAGATGAAGTCACCCAGAGATGTGTCTATCTGCAGGACTGTAAGTGGCATGGATTCCTCCAGGTGCCCAGACTGTCATTGAGCTGTCATGCCCAGAGCCCCAGGACTGAAGCCATAGAGTCAGGGCCTTAGGAAGGAGAATATTTCCAAATGGGCTTCACGATTCAAATGCACTTATTTCATAGGGGGGAAAGATGAGGCCTGGGTGGGGACAGGACCAGTCAAGGTCTTGTGCTAACGAGACAAGGTGGCCAGACTTGGAGGTGATACTTCTTGGCTCTGAGTTCAGGATTTCAAGCTTAGGGAAGAGTCCAGACCTCTTAACTTCTCTGAAGACCTCCAAGGCCAAAAGACAGAAGGCCCTGACTGCCTGGTTATGGGAAGCTGGTCTTATCTTGTCATTTAGGGTGCCAGGCCTCCAGCTCTGCACCTCAGTCCTACCCAGTGATGATAGCCAAGGGTAGCTACCACCCCAACTGAGCCCGTTCTCTTGTCTGCCTCAGGTGTAGAGCCAATGGTCTGGGTCCCCACAGAGGCGCTTGGCAATGAGACCTTGACACCCAGCCAAGTCCTGCCCACGCTCAGCGACAAACAGCTGCAGCCTCCACTGGACACAACCAGGACCCCCACCCACAGGCCGGCCTTCACCCCAACAGCCCCCTTTACCTCAGCCTCAAACCCACCAATGGCAGCCACCAAAGGGTCAATGACGACCTCAGGTCCCACCAAGCCTGCCCTGCAGCATCCGATAGGGTTCACTGTATCCAACCTCCCCGCCCACCCCACAGAGGCCACTGGCAGCAAGGGAGTGACCACCAGCCTTTTGGCAACTTCTCACCCCCTGGAATCCTCAACCCACCCTGTGTCAATGCAGACACCCACGCCTGGCATGTTATCAGGTGCCACAGAGACGACCAAGGTGACCCTGGCCTTTGCAGGGAGCGGCAACATCACAGTTTCCTCCCGATCATCCCCTGTAGCTCGCTTCCCATTGGTGACCAAAGCTGTGACAGTCACAGCGCGTGGCTCTTTGCCTGTTAGGACAACAACACTCCTGCAGCCCTCTTTGCCGGCAAGTCCCTCCTCCAAGCCCGTGGCTACCCCTGGAGTTACCCCCAGATCTGCCACCTCCTTGAGGGCCCACAAATCCCTGCTGACATCTGCAGGAACTACATCTATGAACAAGACGGGGATGCCCCAGCCCACCCAGGCCCGGAGGCTTTCAAGTCCCAGCAGCCCTCTGGCCATGGCGAGTGCGGCTGCAGCGTGGGCTCCCATCAGCCCCCTTGCCACCAAGGGCATGGAGGCGTTGTCATCCACAGAGAAGGGAGAGCCTGGGCACAGCCATCCCATGGGAATGCCAGTATCCTCACGTCCAAGTCCAGTCCCCACTGCCCCGACCCATCCAGCCCGACGTACCACTGTAGCCATAAGGCCTCCAACTCTGCTCCCAAGGACCTCGGCTGCCACCAGCCTGTCCACAGTTGCTCATGGCTTGGGGGCAACAGCTTTAGTGTCTCTGGAGTCAGCTCAGCCCTCCCAGCTCCTCTCTGGCCTGCATCCTGATACTAGCCTGCCCCTGGCTAAGACGGGCACATCTGCTCCTGTGGCCACGCTTGGTTCCAAAGGCTCTGTTCTCACTCCCCCACATCAGCCTCAGGCCACATCGCTGGTGGTGGCCACAATTCCACCTGCTCAGACACTCAGCCCAGCAGTGCCTCTCACCCCAGCTGTGGTAGCCCAGGTGCATCCACCCAGCCACATGACCCCCCAGGTAACAGGCACAGCACCAAGCCTCCTTTTGGGAACCACACTGCCAACTTCTGGAGTCACGGCCATGCCTGCAGGGGCAGCCCCCACAGTATCTGTTGCCCCACGAAAGAGCACCACCCAGAAAATGGCCATTCTTTCTAAGCAAGTATCCCTGCCCACCTCCCTTTATAGTTCTGTCCCAGACAGATCCACAGAGCTCACACCTACTGTGCGCCACACTGCTGCCCCCCTGGTGACGAAAGCTGAGGGCCCTCGGGCTGGCACTGTGCCGGTGGTGCCTACATCCTACCCCTTGAGCCACGCCTCAGCCAGGACGGCCTCCCGGGAGAGCTCTCTAGTTCTGCAGCCTCAGCTGGGACTGCATGGGACCCCAGCAGGACCCCAGCCCCCAGCAGAGCCAATGGGTGAAGCCACCACTGAGCAGTCGGGACGCTCAGCTCCAGCCCAGGGCATCACACAAGGGTCGGCTGAGGCCTTTGCAACTTCCATGGAAGCGAATGCATCTGCCAGCTGTGTTGTGAGTGACTTGCAGGTTCTTACTCATCTGCAGAACCCTCCCTCCACACGTGTCCATACCCCATGCACTGAGCTCGACAGACCACACATATTCTCAGGCCTACAACAGCCTCTGTCTTCACAGATTCCAGGCTGCAAGATAGAGATGCAGGGTTTTTTTTTTCTCTATCTCTGCCCCAAGCTTCTGGTGCCCCAAGAAATTCCCAAGGCTTCTCTGAATCTGGAAAGCACAGCAATATCCCATTCTGTCCATCTGGACCTGAGGGGCTGATCAGATGACTTGATGTGGTACTTGATGTGGTGTGACAATGACTGTGTGCCACTGAGTGTGTATTTGTCTCTTGAGTATCTGCTATAAGACTATGCACACACATATGCACACACACATAATGTGTTTACACATTAGACAAAGTAAATTCTAATGTATTTGTGTGTATGTGCTGCATGGTGTGACATTCTTTGTGTGTATTTTTACATGAAATCAAGAAAAAGAAAGTGTGTTCATGTATACATGTATGCTTGGATGTCTGTGAGTATGACCTAATGTGTCTGCAAGTCTGTGTACTTGGGGCTTTCAGCACAGATATGCAGAGGTCTCAGAGATTCTGGCCCCTGGTTCCCAATCTCAATCCCAAGCCCTTGTTGGCTTGGCAGGCATGTGGGGTGTGGGAACCATTCCCTAATAATTTTTACCTCAAAGTCAACTACCCTGCTAGGACCTGCATTGTTCAAACAGGTGTGGAGGGGCTAGAGGCCCTGGTACTGGCTGTGATATTCTTTCTCCTCTCTGTGCCCTAGCCCATTGCTGAGCAGGACTGCGTCCGCCATATTTGTTTAGAAGGCCAGCTGATCCGTGTGAACCAATCCCAGCACTGTCCTCAGAGTGCTGCACGCCCTCATTGTGGGGTCCTAGGCCTTGCTGTTCGGGTGGGTGGAGATCGCTGTTGTCCCATCTGGGAGTGTGCCTGTGAGTCGTAGAGTCAGCTGGAGTCTTTGTATGTACCTTGTATCTTACCCAGTTAACAACTACCACTGATCTGTGTGCTACCTTGCCTTCACTACCCTGCCTCCCCTCCCACAGGACTTGTTATCCCAGGGTGACCCTTGACCTGGCATATTTCTTACCCTTTTGATCTCTGACCTCTGTAAGATACCCGATCTGAGAGAACCTTCAACCTCTAGGCCTCTGAATCATCCATGAAAAGGCCCAGGCATTTGCCCATCTTCCTAGGTGGTCTTGGCCTTGGAGGTTTCTGCTTATTCTCATACCTTGTCTTCATCCCCAGGCCGATGCTCAATCTTTCCTGACCTGAGCTTTGTGACCTTTGATGGAAGCCATGTGGCCCTGTTCAAGGAGGGCATCTATATCCTCAGCCAGAGAGCAGATGAAATGATCACTGTCCATGTCCTTGACTGCAAAAGTGCCAACTTGGTAAGTACACCTTGCTTTCTTCTCTGCAGGACCTGGGCATTAACCAAGGTTTAGAGAGGGAGAGTTTAGAGAGGTTTAGAGAAACAGTCCTTCTGTCTCCTGGGAATCTTCCCTGCTTCAGGCTAGATGACATGGGGAACAAGATGTGCAGAGTACACCTTCCCGCCATTCCTAGGGCCCCTTGCACCATTCCCAACCCACTGCTAGCTTTCTAGGCTCCTGTGGGTTGGCATTGGAGTATGGAGGAACTGGGAGGCCACTCTAATGTGTCTCTTGTGGTCATGTGTGCCAGCTGCAGGTGATTGCCTCTAGGATGGCTCCTGAAGAAAGTGAGCCTGCCTCCCTCCCTCCCT